GGCGGGGAGGGGAGGGGCTAAGCTCATCTTGTGTGAAAAAACGTTAAACGTAAAAATACGATGGAGCCAAAAATAATTGGAATGAGGTCAAATTTTTAATTTTTAATTTTTTTTTCTACTTGTCAGAGAGGGAGGGAGGAAGAGAGAGAGAGAGAGGGAGGGTGGGAGGAAACAAAACAAAAAAAAAAAACGATTTTCTTATTAAAATTAAATTTTCTCAAATTAAGGTGGGTGACACAATGGCTGACGAAACAATCTTTTGCCAAAATATTTTAATTTGTTGAAAACAAATTTTTAATAATTATTTTTATTTAACTAATAAAAATTATTATTATCATTATTATTAATAATGATACGTTGAAGAAAAATTATGTAAATATTTTAATTAATAATCTTTCGATTAATTAATTATTTACGTCATAATCGCAACAAAAAAAACGCATAAATAAATTTTTTTTTTTTTTTAAACTATAAATGGGGATCCTTAAAAGAAAAAAACAAACAAAATTTTTAAATTGAAAATTGTTGTGGTTGTTGTTGTTGTGGTTGTTGGGTTGTTGTTGTGGTTGTTGGGTTGTTGTTGTGGTTGTTGTTGTGGTTGTTGGGTTGTTGTTGTGGTTGTTGTTGTGGTTGTTGGGTTGTTGTTGTGGTTGTTGGGTTGTTGTTATTGTTGTTATTGCCCTATCACGAATTTAACATCTCGATTGAATTCAGGTTAAAAACTTACACGCACACGCACACATAGTCATACCTCATCACGTAATATTTCAATAAGTATTATTCATATTTTTTAATTACGTAAAATAATAATAATAATAATAATAATAATAATAATAATAATAATAATAATAATAATAATAATAATAATCATTCAACCCCAAAAAGGTTTAAACCGAACGTGAGGTTATTAAACAAAAAAAAAAAATAACGGTAACTTTCGTACAAGTTTATAAAAATCTATATTTAACTTACGAAAAATGAGAAAAAATTTTTGTATAGTAAACAAGATGAGTAAAACCTACACGCGCACATACGCACATACGACGCCATTTTGATTTTTTTCCCCCTCCCCTACTATTTTAAACATATAATTAATTAATTGCATTTTATCAATGAAAATTATTATCATCATCATAGTCGTGACATAAGGTATGAATTAATAAATGATATTTGTGTAATAATAGACACGTGATCAAATAGTAGTAGTACAATAACAAATATCAATCATTTGATGTTGGGGGGCGGGGGGTGTTTTAAGTGGGTTAAATATGTGTGTGTAATTTTCGAGAAGGAATAGAAAATTTTTTTTTTTTGGGGTCACGTGTTAAACCGCAAATGATCATAATAATGATTTCAATACACACACGTACTCGCGTTTACCATACAATCAAACATTTCGAATATTTTTAGTTATATAAAATTGAAAAATTTTAATAATACTGGTTTCGGTACTGATTTTCAAATGATGAGAATACCTTTCACTACTACCTGCACACGACAAAATCAATTTTATCTTTTTAAAAAAAAAAAGAAAATTTTTTAATAAACTTACCGCAATGGATTTTTCCCCCACATTTTCTCGTTTTTTGTGACGTCACAAAAAAAAATTTTTCTTTTCAACGTTTTAAAAATTAACCTAAAATAAAAGAAAAAAAATGAAAAATGATTTTAGTTTCTTGATTAAGCGTGTCTTTGTTTTGAACGAACGTGTCTTTAGACAATTTAAAATCGGGAAATTTTTAACCGTTTAAAAACACACACAGAGTTGCCATAATTCTACACTTGTTCTGTGATAAGGTAATTTATGTATTTTTTTTTTTTTTTTTTTTGATTTGGTTAATTAAACATTGTTTTAATTAATTTTAAAAAAAAAAATGAATGTCGGATGTATTACGATGAATTTTTTTAAATATTATTTACAATGTCGTAAAAAATATTTTTATGATAATAATAATGATGATGATAATAATTTTTTATTGGTTTCCGATACGTTTAAGTGTGATGAAAATATTCCTAACGATGATTTATTAATCGATAAGTGAGTAAAAAATTAATAAAAAAATTTTTTTTTTAATTGTGAGTACCATTCGTTCGATTTTAATTATTATTATTATTATTATTATTATTATTATTATTATTATTATTATTATTATTATTATTATTATTATTATTATTATTATTATTATTATTAAAAATTTTCCGTTTGAATTTAAATTTTTTTTTTCGTTTTCCTCGTAAGTCTTTTTGTTAATATATTCACGTTCGCGTCATTCGTACAAAAAAAAAAAAAAATAGAAATAATTTTTTTTGCGGTTGTTTACATTTGTTAGCAAAAACAAATAACCGCAAAAAAAAAAAAAAAAAAAAAAAAAATTCCCCCGTCGATCGAATTTAATTTCTTTTTTTTTTTTTTTTTGATGACATAACGCAAAACTTTTTTTTTTCTACCTTTTTCTAGACCTTTCACCTCAACGATCGAGTTTTTCGAAAACGGGGCTACGGGTTTGTTGTTGTTGTTGTTGTTTGTTCGATTAGAACTATACAATTATTTTTAATTGTAAATGAATGTGATATGCGGAAGACATTGAATGAATTCAACAAGTTGTTGTTGTTGTTGTTGTTGTTGCGAAGTCGAACGGAAAACGTAATCGTAAATTAATAATAATAATAATAATAAATAATAATAATAATAATAATAATAATAATAATAATAATAATAATAATAATAATGATAATAATAATAATAAATTAATAATTTTAATAATGATAAAAAAAAATAATAATAATAATAAATTTAATTGTCGGGTATCTTTGATTGAAAAATTTTCGTACGCAAGAATGTTTGTTGTCGAAAAAACAAACAAAAAAAGATAGATTAAATGTTAGTCACACGATAATATAAAAAACTACAAAAAAATTATTTATTTAAATAATAATAATAATAATAATAATAAGGTTTATTGACCCGATAACAAACGATATCGGTTTTTGTGGTGTATTTTAAAATAAAAACGGCGGTTATATCAATTGGGGCGTTATCGAAATTGCAATACAATTTTCATACGATCCCCAGTTTTTCCTTTCGCTAAGCTAAACATTTACAGGTATCGCGGTTCGGTCTCATATTTTAAACGTTACGTAACGGAAAATCTTTTAAACCCCCTCGAAATTTTATTTTTTAAAAATTTTGATTTGATTACATTCTTCTCCCCCCCTCCCCTCTCCCTTAAAAAGTAAAAAAAAAAAAAAATTTCATCAATTATTAATTATTATTTTGTTTGCATGACGTTTTTTCTATTTCCACGTACAACACGTTTTTCCATTTAAAGTAAAAATTATTTTAACGCCGTTTGTTCCCCGTTTGTTGTTGTTGTTGTTAACGCAATAATAAATATTGCGCAAAACTCCGAGATGTTATTTTTTTGGACAAGTTTTTCTTTTTTTTTTTTAAATATGAATAATTTATTATTATTATTATTATTATTATTATTATTATTATTATTTGACCGTGACTTTAAATTATTATTACGTTATTTATTTATTTTTTTTTTTTTTTACACAATTTTTATACAATTTAAGGAAGACGCCATGCGTGATAATAATACGATAAACGTCATTATTATTATTATTATTATTATTATTATTATTATTATCATTACAGTCATCGTAAACGTAATCATCATCATCATCATCATAATTATTATTTTTTTTTTTAATAAATGATTCGTTATGTTAATTGTAAGGAAAAAAATAAAATAAAAAATAAAAATAAAAACTAGTTAACGGTGACCTTGAATAAACGCGGGAAAAATAATTTTAAAAGTTTTTTTTTTTTTTTGATGTGGAATTAGATTAACTTATTCAAAGTTTTACGAAAAATTTCACGTTTTCGATTTCGAATCTTTAAGGGATTGAAGAGGGGGGTATTTACATAATTATCATCATCATCATCATTATTATTATCGTTACGAAAACGAAACCGAAGTCAAGTTCAAGTGAATCCCGTACAAATTTAAAAAAAAAAAAGAAATTTGTTTTCTAATACCACGTTTGCGTGCCAGAATAATAAGTTTACTAAACGTTGAAAAATTCATGACTCGTATCGATCTTGACCACGATTGAAATTTTCTTTTTTTTTTGTTAGTGGAATAAATTAATAAATTGATTTCGTTCGATTTGTTTTTTTTACGTATCCTAATTATTATTATTATTATTTAAAAAAAAAACAAAACAATATTAATAATGATAATTTTTGTTTAATAACTTAATTTAAAATGTCGTGTTGTTGTTTCTTTTTTTTCTAAATCTTTCCGTTACTGCGAAAACAAAATAAAAAATTCTTTCCGAACACGTGATCAACGCCATTATTATTATTATTATTATTATTATTATTTTCTTTAGAATTTTTGCCGTTAAAAAATTCAAAATAAATTTCAAAACGTTTTTTTTTTTCCGTCGGATCGTCGAACTTTTATTTTAAATTAATTAATATAAAACAAAAATAAAATTTAAAAATAAAACAAAATTAAATTAAAATAATTAAATTGACGGTTACACGCATTTGTTAACGGTCCCCCCCCCCAATTACCCCTCCCCTCCCCCCTTACAAAAAAAAAGAAAAAATTTAGGATAAAATGTCGGTCGCGATTGTAATGATAACCCAAATATTTAGAGCCAATTTGTATATAAACTGAAATTTATATTAGAAAAAAAAATAAAATTTTTTTTTATTACTCTTCTAACGACAAACAACAACCCAACAACAACAACAACAACAAACAAAACATATGGATGTTTTATTTGTTAATAACTCCATTATTAAAAGATTTTATTTTACGATCGGTATTAAATTGATGTTTTTCCCCCCTTCCCTTCCCTTCCCTTCCCTCTTCCCTCAACCCTTCCCTCCTTAATAAAAATCTGCAGAAGAAAAATACGAAAAAAAAATCCATGGAAAAATATTATTATTATTATTATTATTATTTTTTTTTTTTTTAGAAATCCAACATGGTGGAAAAGAAGAACAAAATTGGAAAGGAAATTATTAATATTAAGTTTAATATCATTAGTTTTTGCAACGGCACTACTGGCAGCCGCCATAGCATTAGTAGTACGAGAAAAAGAAGAAGGAAAATTCACAGGTACGAGAGGGAGAGGGGGAGGGGAGGGGGGGAGAAGGGTGGGGGTGAAAAGAAAGGAAAATAAAAACAAAATTTAAATTTTTGTCGACAGCATTCAATGAATCAACGGCCGAACCCAGCACATGGCAATCAAATTCCGACAATCATCAAAATTTTAGAAAAGGAAAAGCAAGTAATTATTATTATCCGGAAAAGGATAAAGATGTTGTCGAAAGTGGTAACGTATGCATGTCGCCAGGATGCGTTAAAACCGGTGAGATAAAATTCTAGTGCCACGTTCAAAAAAAAAAAAAAATCGAATGAATTAATTAATTAATTTTTTTCTCCCGGGTGGATGTGGGGCGACAGCTTGTAAAATATTGGAAAACATGAATACGGAAATTGATCCTTGCGATGATTTTTACGAATTCGCATGTGGAAAATTCGAAAGGGAAACCGTCATACCTGATGATAAAACATCCGTGACGACATTCAGCGAAATATCGGATAAATTAAAAGAACAATTAAGGACAATCATTGAAACTCCAGCGGAAACAAACGATGCTGCTCCATTTCTACTTGCCAAAAATCTTTACAAAGCTTGCATGAACAAAAGTAAGGTTTAAATCATACTAATCGATCGATACCTAAAAGTAATGATAATAATAATAATAATAATAATAATAATAATAATAATAACTACAATTTCATTTCAGCTGGAATCGCTAATCGCGGTCACACCCCAATATTAGACATATTGAAAAAATTAGGAGGATGGCCGGTTTTGGAAGGACAATCATGGAATCCTGGAACGTTCGATTGGAAAGAAACGGTTTATAAATTTCGAGATTATGGTTATTCCGTTGATTATTTTATCGATTTTTCCATAGGAGTCGATTTGAAAAATACAACGATAAGAACGATCGATGTTAGTTTTCCATACCTTTTCATCAAAAGAAAAACAATAAACAATATTAAAAAATTTTTTTTTCGTTTTTTAATATCAAACAGTTGGATCAACCATCTTTGGGTCTCGGTCGTGAATATTTATCAAAAGGTTTCGATGAAAAAATCGTACAGGCTTACTACGAGTATCAAGTGGACATAGCTACCCTATTGGGAGCGGATAAGAAAATGGCGGAAACGGAATTGAAAGAATCGTTAAATTTCGAAATACAATTAGCAAACGTAATTATTATTAAGCTCTTACCTTTTTGGCTGTTGCCGTTGGTCACGTGATGTATTGACTCTTCCAGATTTCTCTTCCCAACGAAGAAAGAAGAAACGCATCCAAATTATTTAATCCCATGTCTATCCATCAACTTCAACAAAAATTTCCAAGCATTCCATGGTTGGAATATTTCAATCGTTTGTTACCCAAACACATACGAGTTAATTCCAGCGAGGTCGTCATAGTGAGCGTACCTACATTTTTAAAACAATTGGAAGCACTTCTTAGTAAAACTCCAAAAAGGTATATTTTTTTTACTCTCTTTGTACGTCCGAAGGGTAGACAACAAACAATCATTCATTCATTCATTCATTCATTCATTCATTCTTAGAGTTTTGGCTAATTACGTCATGTGGAGAGCAGCTGGTGCATCGGTTAGTTATCTATCGGAAGATTTAAGAAATAGACAATTGCAATATTCTACGGTTTTATCAGGGAAAGAAAGTAGAGAAGCAAGATGGAAGGAATGTATAGATATTGTTAGCTCTGGGTAATAATTAAATTGAAATTAAATTGAAATTAAATTGAAATTAAATTGAAATTAATTCCGATTGAGTTTTTTATTAAAAAATTTTCTTTTTTTTCCAGCGTTTCACTCGCTGTCGGTTCAATGTACGTTAAAAAATATTTCAAAGAAGATTCTAAAAAAGCAGCTTTGGAAATGGTACGAGATATAAGAGAAGAATTTAATAACATATTAACAAATTTAAATTGGATGGATTCGGAAACGAAGTAAGTAAATAAAGAAAAGAAAAAAGAAAAACGATTTTCCCTTAATTAATGAAAAATTTTCCATTTTATCGTTCGAATCAATTCCAGGCAAAAAGCGTTGGAAAAAGCAGCCTCGATGGTCACTCACATAGCATATCCGGATGAATTATTAGACGTTAAAAAATTGGAAAAATTTTACGATAGACTCACGGTTGATCCGAATTATTATTTGGAAAGCGTTTTAAATTTGACTAAATTCGGTACTGATTATTCATTCGGAAGATTAAGACAACCCGTTAATAAAACCGAATGGATAAGTCACGGTCGTCCTGCTGTCGTTAACGCCTTTTATAGCGGAGTGGAAAACAGCATACGTTAGTATACACGACTACTATTACTGCTATTACTACCCCCCTCCCGTTTGATAAAAACTTACTTACCCCTCGTTTTTCCAGAATTTCCAGCTGGTATTCTTCAGGGTATATTTTTTTCAAACGATCGTCCGAAATACATGAATTACGGTGCCATTGGTTTCGTCATTGGTCACGAAATAACCCACGGTTTCGACGATCAAGGACGTCAATTCGATAATAAAGGAAATTTAGTCGATTGGTGGGCAAAATCCACGGAGGAAAAATTCATAAATCGTGCACAGTGTATAATACATCAATATGGAAATTACACGGCAGAAGAAGTCGATTTGAAAGTAATTTCCCGCGCGCGCACGCGCAGACGCACGCACAACCTGAAAAGGAAAAAAAAAACGAATTATTAATATTATTATTATTATTATTATTATTACAGTTAAACGGTATCAATACGCAGGGTGAAAACATTGCGGATAATGGGGGAATTAAAGAAGCGTATAGAGCTTACGTAAAATGGTCGGAAAGAAACGGAGAAGAAAAAATGTTGCCGGGTATGTATTTTCCCCTCCCCCCCCCCGAATCAACATCCGGTGATTTTAACATCTCTCTCTTTCAGGTTTGCCATATACTCCTAGACAATTATTTTGGATAAGTGCGGCAAATACTTGGTGTTGTAAATACAGGCCGGAAGCATTGAAAATTCGTATAATAACCGGCGTACATTCTCCAGGTAGATTTAGAGTTATCGGCCCACTATCGAACATGCCTGAATTTTCAAAAGACTTTAATTGTCCGTTAGGTTCTAAAATGAATCCCGTCGATAAATGTGAAGTGTGGTAAATTTTCCTTTTTTTTTTTTTTTTACAACAAATGAAAAAAAAAAAAAAAAAAAAAAAAAACTTTGTGGTTGTATCATTTTTCTTTTTTATACATTTTATTTTTATTTATATTTTTTTTTTAAAAAAGAAATTTTACTCATGTTTTTTATCGATATATCGATCGATTAATCGATTTATCGATCAAGTGAACAAACGAGTTATTATGTGATAAGTTTTAAAAAAATAAAACATAATCAATCATTAATTAATCATCATTATTAAGGGTTGTTAAACTTTAAAGTTTTTTTTAAAGAAAACTTTATAACTAGTGAATAATAATAATAATAATAATAATAATAATAATAATAATAATAATAATAAATAAAATTTCAATTTTTTTATTATTTCTTTATAAATTTTTTCTTTTTTTTTTTTTAAATCATTTTCCTTACGTATTAATTATTGTAATTATTCCTTTGTTTTTTTCTCTCTCTCTCTCTCTCTTTCTCTCTTTTTCTTATTTTTAAAGGAAAAAACGTAAGCAAAATTCTACTATTGCAAATTTATATTTAATATATATATAGATATTTTTTTCCACTTTAAATTAATATTTTTACAAAAAAAAAAAAAAAAAAAAAGGAAAAAGAAAATAATGTCAATATACCTCAATATTATTTGTAGCAGAAGAAACTTTCTCTCTTCGGTTAATAAGCTAAGCATATGTTATATTATCGCATGTATAACTTTTCAATTTTGTTTTGCAATTTATTTATTTATTTATTTAATCATTATTTATTTATAACAATTTAATTATATATATGTAATTCTTGTATCCATTTTAATCCTTTTCTGACTAGGTGCAATCTGACTCGTCTCAGAAAGCTCGCAATTAATTCGTATTCCGGTAAACTTCTCCTTCCCTTGTATTGAGCTTTCGAAACGCTTTCCGACATCTGTAATTAATTAATTAGAAATATTTAATTAATTTTATATTTTTGATAATTTATGTTAGGAGTGACGAGATTTTAACGAAATTTACGGTGTTGGTTTTATTTCTAGCCGTTATGTCTCTTTCGCAAAGAACTTTCGAACTCAAACAGAGTAACCATTGTATTATTTCGTTGCTGTTGGGTAGAGTGTAATTTTCTTTCAACCAAGAACTCGGTGCCCATAAATAAAGTTGAGCGACCGTTGCGGCAACGTCGCAATCCAACCTCTGGAAAAAACATTTGGGGATTGTGATTGACGTCATCGAATGACATTTTCTTCCTTTTTTTTTTTTTTTGTTACCTTATTCGTCGATCTCGACAACATGTTGCTCACGAGATTTCTTATTATGAAAGGAATCGTGTCGGGTAATTCGGGTAAATCTTCCTCTTTGTAACTTTTGCTTAGCAATTTCATCGTTTTATCGTAAAACGGATTGTCGATGTTGAATATTTCGTATGCAATGGCTCCGACGGCCCAAAGATCAGATTTTTTATAATTTAACCATGAAAACGTTCCGGGTTTGGCGTTGGCGATCTGAAACGAACATTTCCGAACCATTGAAATAATAATAATAATAATAACGTGATTAAAATTTAATATCGAAAAAGGGAAATACTTCTGGTGCCATCAAAGCCCTGTTTCCACCCTTGTCTTGATCTTCCGATCTGTATGGTATGACGAGACCATTTTGTTTATCGCAGAGACAGCATCCGAAGTCGGTTATCACGATGGTTGGATAAGCATCTCCCTCAGAAAGGTCAACTAATATATTGTCAGATTTTAAATCTCTGAAAAATAAAAATAAAAAAATCAACAATGTCACTGCACCCACGCACTGCACGACACTTTTTAACTCAACGCGCAATTTTGAATGAACTAAAAAATATTTAAAACAAACAAACAAACAAACAAACGCACCTATGAGATATGTTATGAATATTCATATGAGCAACAGCTTCTAAGAGTTGCGAGAGCAAAAGAATTGATGATCTCATATTCGGAGTTTTATCTCTCAAATATTCTTTTAACGTGCAATCATATCTATAAAAAAAAAAAAAATTTGTTTTTAAAAATGATAATAATAATAATATAGATAATAAAAACAAATCGAAATGAAATTATATAAAACTATCATAAAAATAATTTTTCGATATGGCTACGAAAAAAAAACTTGATTTTATTATGACCTTTTCATAACGAGAAATAAACTCATATTTCTTCCTGATCCTTCCGGATTAATTCTTGGAGGGAGAGCTTCTGGATATAATTGTTTATTACATTGTAAATCTGGTATTCTATCAGCAAATACAGAGTACATTCTCACAATGTTAGGATGAGGCGGAAGGCGAATTTTAAAATCTGAAATACTAAAAAGTTCAAATGTGCGTGTGTGTTAGAAAATTTTTTTTTTTTTTTTTTTCCCCTGATGAGACATTTATAAATTTGTGACAAAAAAATTATTATATACTAACTTTTCAATATTAAATAAATTTTGATTGAAAAAATATGACATGGCTGGAACTGTTTCCCTGTACATGGCTTTTAAAATCGCAGTCGAGTTGGATTCGACATCATAATTAAACATCATTTTCACAGCCAATTGATGTGCCAATTTATTCGATTGAACTAAAATTGTGTCAGATTGTTTTGTATTAAACAATTTTATCATTTAATTATCAAATAATAATGAGAAGGAAAAATGAATGTATTATCAGGCAAAATAAGATTATATTTACCATTTTTTAATTTGGCAGAATAAACGACAGCATTACATCCTTTCGCTATTGGTTCCCCTAAATCAAGTTCATCAAGATTAGCAGCTTGCAATTGTTCTACATTTTCAGATTCAGAATCATTCCATTTCCCTTTAGAAACTGCTTCCTGCAAACAATTATTATTTATTAATATAAAAAATTCTTTTTATAAATTGGATAAAAATTTATTGCACTTACTCGGATTTCCCAACAAATGCCCTCTAATTCATCATCTTTTGTTAAAAGGCCACTTCCAGATGCTAAGCTTACACCAACAAGTGCAAAAAATGGAGCTGAATCTCCGTAGAAAAGCCTTTTGGCTGCTTTTTTTTTAAGGTCTGAATTTAATGTTGGTGTCACTCTTTCCAAAACATTGTTGATTAACAATTTTCTAGCTTGAAGCTGCACGGCATTTTTAACTGAATTTAATCCAGTAGACAAAAACGTTTGACGACTTACGGATGCTTCACTCGGGGTCGATTTTAGATCCAATTTGATGATTTTTTTAATAAATTTTTTGATGTTAGCTTTTTTGTAATAACGAAAAATTCGACCATTTTGAAGTAAAAGATTTGTGTAAGCCAACAAAGACATTTCTCTGAATGGCTGACTGATGAAATTTAACTCGGAACAATATTTCACTATTTCCAAAAATAAGAAAATTTTACATTTTAGAAAATATCTGCGCCTCAGTCAAAACTAGATTAGACACTATCTGCACGATGTTACTGCAACCACGTTATTTCAACCGTAAAAGTTTATAACCACGATTATATTTTCCTTTTTGATGACGTCAGTAAATCTCAACGCAAAAAAAAATTAATGTATGAATGAATACATAATAATAAAAAAAAAAAAAAACGAAATTAATAAAATTATTTTATTATTATTATTATTATTTCCTTAAAAATTTATATATTTCCTATTATTTTACAAAGTAAATAAAGCAAAATATTTGGTAATAAAAGTATATATATATATATAAGTAACTGATGAATTATGTAATATATTAAAAACATTTAAGTTCAAAAAATAACAGTACATAAACAAGAAGAGACAAAACAAAATTTCAATTTTTTAATTTATTTTAAACAATATGTTTTTTTTTTTTTCGTTTTTTTTCGTTTTTTTTTTTTTGACAATTGCTTCGAACTATAATATATAGAATGATAATTGTGATAAAATTATACTTAATCATAAGCGACAGTTTTTAAAATATATTTTACAGTAAATGCAAAAGCTGTGAAGCCCACTATTACTGCAATGTTAGCAAGAGCCGAGAGTAAAGGGCTTCGATCATTGGCATTATTTTGTTCTAGAAATTGAATTCCTCCTCCGTGAGATGCTTCTCTTCTTTCTTCCATTTCTTGAACTGCTTTTCTATTTTCTATTGCTGTTTTTATTAACTGAAAATATGCATTAATATTATTTAATAAATTTTATAAATACAATTCAGAAATAAACAAATTTTTAATAACTTTTGAAAAACTTACTTTACATATATCTGGAAAAAGCTCTTGGAATATTTTATTTTCTATATTAAATTTCAAGCTTTGGTAGGCCAACTGCTTTTTTTCAAAGGCTGTAGATTTGATACTTCCTAATGTCTTTGTATCTTCTATCTGAATAATAGAAAATTAAAATTTTGAAATGTCGCCATTTTATTTTTCACTTTCGTTAAAAAACTTGCACACACACACACACACACACACCATAAAGCTAAGTAATCCTGTTAAAATAGTGGAAACAGTCCAAGCAGGATTCCATGTATCAGGATGATAATCACTTATTGACAAACACAATTTTGTATTCGTCATAAACCTTCCATTAGGAGTTATCATATAAATGCTTGGTGGTTTAAATGGGAATTCTTTAGGAAAAATCAACTTTCCATGATAAAATCCTCCTTCGTATGGAGTTTCTTCTGGACCAGCTATCACATAATGCCTAAAACAAAATAAAAAAAAAAAAACAAATAAATTAGTTTTAGTATCATTTCAAATGTGCACAAAAAAAAAAAAACGAAAAAAATCCAACGGTAAAGTCGAAAAAACAAAAATCGAAAAGCATGGCATAATTAAATAAATGTAAAAATTAAATAATTAAAATTACCATTCTAAAATATTTGATGGCAATGGTTCAGCAACTATATAAGGTACAGGATCTCTTTTAATTCTTAAATAATCAAGCCTTAACCTAGCTGCAGCACTATTAGACTTGTTCTTCCACTGGAGAGACATTTTTTTACTAACAAATATTCAGTGCATTTCTTTAAACCTATGGAAATTTTTTATTTTTTGTTTTTATCATTACCTTAAAAAAAAAAAAAAACAAAATTTAAAATAATTTCCGTTAAAAATTAACAATAATAATAATAATAAAGATTAAATAATAATCAACAAAATTACGCATGATTAATTTCGAATACAAAATAAAATAATTAAAACATTCGTAAAAAAAAAAAAAAAAATTATGATAATAATAACAACCGGAGAGTAATAATCACAAAACAATAAACGAATAATTATTAAATTTACCATTAATTAAATTAATCGCATAAAAAATTTTTATTAACGACAACTCATTAAAAAAAAAGTTTTTTTATCAAAATAATATTTCACCTTAAAATCTTTTCCATCATACTCCTAACCTTCAGCCTTTCAATTTATTTATTAATTACATACACATATGTGTTAAAATTAATAATATTTAAATTTAAACACATGAGCTTAACGTTAAAAAATTAAAAAATATATTTTATCCGTTCGTATAAATAACTGAATAATTAAAAAAAAAAAAAAAAAAAAAAAAAAAAAAAATTTTTTCTTTCTCTCTCTCTAAACGCGATAAATTAAATTTAAAACTGTATGCCTTGATTTCACTTTTTGTATCTTTTATAAAGTTAATTATTTCGTGACAGAACGTAACATGATGTTTTCTGCTTTCGATCATTGTCTACTGCTACGATCGTTGTCTATTGCTACGATCAGTTTTTTCCCTCCGATTTAATTGAAATGTACTCGAGTCGTTAACTCTTTTAGTTTTTCCTTTTTTTTCTTGTTAAGTAATAACGAATTTTATAATTAATAAATAAGTTTAAAAGAAATAGTGAAATATTCGCGATGAAATTCGATATTCAAATTAAAACTACGATACGAAAAAGTACAAAATAATTATGAACGAATTTCAAAAAAAACCGTTACAAAGAGAACATCATTCAAATACAATACAAATTTATGTAAGTTTTTAATAATTATTTATTTAATTATTTATGATTCTTTTTATTCAACAAAATTTTTAAAATCTATTAAAGTTAATATTAATAATAATAATAATTTCACGAAAGTTTTAAAATAAATTTCTTTTGGAAAAATATCCCATTTCAAATTAATGGAGTGTGATAATTTAAAACAAGAAATGAAAAAAATTGCATTTGTTTCTTTTAAATTTAATTTTAATAATAGCCTTTAAAATAGTTAACAATTAAAATAACCCGAATTAATAATAATAATAATAATAATAATAATAATAATAATAATAATACAGATCTCACACCTAAATTAAATACGAAGTCAAAATCAAAAAAAAAAAAAAAAATTATAATATAAATAAATAATAATAATATATATATATCAATTTTCCTTTTTTTTTTTTTTTTTAATCATAATGACCAATAATAATAATAATAATAATTTAAAAAAAATAGCAATCTCGATTTCATTATTTAAAACAATCAATCAATCAATCAGTCATCAAACGTATAAAATTTCACTATTTTCATTTTTTTTCCTTTTTTTTTTTTTTTTTTTTTTTTTTACAACACACTAAAACTAAATTTTTTTTTAATATTTAATTTGCAGTCTTTTTATCATCAAAACAAAAAAAAAAAAAAAGAAAAATCGAATAATAATAATAATAATTAATAATAATAATAATGATAAAATCTTTAAAATATTTTTCTTTTTCTTTTCTTTTTTCTTCATTTTCCTTCCACATTCTCAATTTAATCAAATCAAATCAAATCAAAAAAAAAAAAAAAAAAAAAAAAAACAATCAGTCATCATTGAAATTTTTTTTTTTTAGTTTCACTCCCATCAAATGATAATAATAATAATGATAATGATAATAATAAACAGATGGAAATTTTCCGGATAGTGAATACTAATATAATCATGCAAATATACATACATATCCATTTAAATATGAATGTGTGTGTGTCTGTGTCTGTCTGAACAGAACAACAACAACAAAAACAAACAAAAAAGAAAAAGAAGGTTCCTTAATTCTTTTTTAAATAATATACCTGAAAACGTTTTAATTGAAATAAAGAGAGAGAGAGAGAGAGAGAGAAAGAGAAACATAACATAACTAATACTATATAAAATTTCATTAATTGTTTTTTCTTTTTTATTTCTTTCCCTGCTTATTAATTATCATTATCATTTCGAATTATCATCAAATTATTATCATCATCATCATCATCATCATCATCATCAATATCATCATTATTTATTAAACATATATTTATATATATATATATATTGTTATTAATCCATAAATAATTATTTAAAAAAAAAAAAAAATACATCAATTAAAATTTTATTATTATTATTATTATCAAATGGATTTTTTTTCCTCCCAACATTTTCCGCGATAAATAATAATAATAATACTAAAAAATAAAAATAGAGAGAAAGAGAAAGAGAGAGATAGAAAGTGAAAGAAAAAAAGAAAGAAAGAAAGAGAAAGAATGATTTTTTTTTTTTTAATTTCTCATTCAAACATTCTAAAAAAAAAAAAATTCTTTTTTTTTGTATTACATAATTTAATTTTATAAATAATAATAATAATAATATTAATGATAATGATAATAATGATAATGATAATGATAACAATAATAATGATAATAATAGTAAAATAATATAGTAATAATAACATGTGTGTAATTTTTTTCATTTCACGAATAATTTTTTTTTGTTTTTGTTTTTCTTTTATGTTTGTTTGTTTCCGTTTGTGTTTGATTTGTTTTGTTTGTATTTGTTTGTATTTGTTTTTTGTTTTCAATCAATTGTTTCGAAGACGTTTTATGAGAGAGTAAAAAGCAAAAATAATCTGAATCAAATTGATTTTTTATTTATAATTGTGTGTGTGTGTGTGTGTGTGCACATGTGTGTGAGCGAACAACGTAACCATTAATCGACATTGATTGTTTGTTTGTTTGTTTGTTGTGTTGTGTGTGATCAGTGGTCGAGTTTGAGTTTTCAAGAGTTTGTCTTTTCTAATAAATTTATTTAAAGGCTGAGACTATTTTTTTTTTCTGTAACGACAGCCGACATTCCTTTTCTTTCTTCTTCTTCTTTTTCTTCATCTTTTACGTGGTCGGTTATATCATTGAGAAAACTTCGCCGACGCCAACTTTTCTTTCCTCCTTCTTCTTCTTCTTCTTTTTACTTCGTTGCCAAATTATTCTTTGGTTCGTAACCTTTTTTTTTTCTTTTTCTTGATGTTTTGCGAAGGTTTCTCAACAATAATCGATGACATGATGACAGACTTCCGGTGAGGTAGCTACCTTTCCGTGTTCTTTCCTACTTCCATCTTATTATTCCTCCTCATTCATTCGACCACGCACGTTTTCAATCATCATCATTTTTTTTTTTTTTTAATATCCGGCAATTAACAAAGTTTAATAATCAATTAGTCAGTCAATCAATCAATCAGACTCGTCCCTGAATTTGTGTCCTAGTGTGTGACACGAATGAAATTATTCACAGGAAAATGAAAAGTAATAAAAAAAAAAAAAAAAACATTTTCCCGTGACGAAGTGTGACAGAGAGAGAAAGAAAGAAAGATAAAATATAAAGAGAGAGAGAGAAAGAGAGATGCGACGGAAAGAAAAATAAAATATTAATAATAATAATAATAACGATAATAATGATAATGATAATAATAATAATAATAATAGAGAAATAACTGTTTAATCGACGGTTTCGATTCAACTATCGCCGGTGGTGGTGGTGGTGGTCGTGGTGGTTATGTCGTCGGTGCTGTTTTTCTGAGTCGATACGTTTTTCCCTAATGAACCTCCGACGAATCGTAAACCGCTTTGTATTATGGGTGTGAAATTTTGCGGAAAGTAAAAACCAGTCGATGAAGTCGCTAGAAAAAAAAACAAAAAAAACGGTTAAAGTAAACAAATCGCATTCGATTTTAACGACTTTGTCAGTTTCCTTCCTCTAACCTATTTGCCGGGGTTCAGCCGGTGTGATCTGTAGCAAACCGTCGCTTGTCGACGACAAACGTCTGAAACTTGGAAAATTTGTGACGAATCTTTGCTGGATTTCAACGGGTTGACAATATTCTTCGTTTCCCACGCTGCTGATGCTGTTGTTGCGATCCTGGTTGTGGTTGTTGCTGTTGCTGTTGCTACCCTCCAAATTATTATCCTTTTCGAAATTGTCATCTTCTCTCTCCATTTCGTCGAATTTCGATGTCGTGCTACCGTACGTCGGAGATTGCGGAGCGGTTGTATACACCAAATAGTCTTCCAAATTTGATCCGGAGCACGCCGTTCCGACTGTAATTACATCTTACGTGAGAGACAAAGACAGACAGGCAGAGAGATAGTGAGAGAGAGAGAGATAGAAAAAATCCAATTACCATGAACTGGAGAAAGATCCTGATACAAAACCGGAGTGTAATAAACTTGTTGAATCGTTTGCGGTGCACTCGAGGATCTCGTATGCGTCGGAGGATTCGATGGTTCCGTTCCTGTTGTTGTTATTATGGGATAAATATCCGACCTTTGACTTATTTTCCTTTTGAACATTGAAATCTCTTCCAGGTGACGAGCTTGAAGTGATTCCAATTCCAATTGTTGCCTAAAAAAAAAAAAAAATACGACGATCAATACGTGGTCGATACCATTTTGGCGGCGGCCATTTTATAATTAAAACGTTAACTCACTTTTGTAACAACTGTTTGAGTTCTTCTCTCGATTCGTCCGACATTTCTTCTTCGAATTCTTTTTGTCCCTTAAAAAAAAAAAAAAAAAATTATTAAAAATTTTTCTTAAATGTTTTTAACTTTTTTTTTTTTTTTTTTTTTTTTTACAGAAAAGTAAAGAACTTTCATGAACCGTGATTGTGCATGATTGTAATTATCATGGCGGAAAATTGTGAAAAATAATGCAAACCGAATTCAAATGCAATTTATTTACATGGAGGGGGGGAGGGAAAAAGGATTAAAAATTTTCGTAGCAACCCGGCACCACCGTAGGTAAGTTTTTTTTTTTTTCTTGCAATTTTTTACACCTGAATAACCTCATTAAGAGATGCTTAAAGAATGAATGAATGAATGAATGAATGTTTTGTGTGATTCGTGTTTACGTTTAACGGATTTTTACAAAGCGAATGACATCAAGTTTGTTTTGTTTGTTTGTTTGTTTGTTTTTTATTATGTTACATTCAAAACCGAAAGAAAATTATTAAGAGAGATAGAGAGAGATAGAGAGAGAGAGGGGGGAGAAAGGTTTCATCACAAATAATCTTTTCCACATTTTCATAAGTCATAGTGTGTGTGTTTTCTGTAAGAAAAGAATTTCGTGAGACAGAAGAAAAAAGCCATGCCTATGAAACGATAGAAAAAGTAGCAAAAGTAGCAACAGCAGCAGCAACAGCAGCAGCATGAGGAACAGGAACAACATTAACATCACATCCATTTTCATTTTCATTTTTTTTTTCTTTGTCATGCCGTCACCAATGATTTTTTGCTTCGTATTTTTTTTTTTTTTTCAAAGCGGATGTGACGTATTTAAAAAAGCAGTCAGTCTTACCAACGCAACGGACGGTGTAATCTCCGAAAATTTTCTGAAGGGCATCGTATTATTAATATAATTATTATAATTATTATTATTATTACTATTAGTCGACAGCATTATTTCGGGGGACGTTACGAAAGGTTCGTTCGTTTTCCGTTTTCCCAAATTTCCGCCGACGGTTTCTCGTTCTCCCAAATTCAAATCGCTCAAACTCCCGAATTTTTTACTCTCCCGATTTTTCATTATTTTATTGAGGAAAATACTTTTTTCGAAATTCATGGCGTTTTTCTTCGTCGGACTCCTCACGGGACTCTTATCGAATCGTGATTTTCTTACCACCGTCAAATTCCCCTGGGATTTCATGTTTCCCTGAAATATCTCGTTCAATTTCGTCGCTAAATTTTCAAAAGAGTGAGAATTTCTTTCCAGCAGCGGACTGTACAATTCGGCAACGTTGCCACAACTCTGTGATTTCTTATTCAAATAATAATCTTCGAGTTCGGCGAGTGGATTGAATTTCCAATGTTCCCGAACCGACGACGACGACATCTTGACCGAATTGTAATGATTCCCACACAGACAAGGTTTGCCCTTACATATGCAATTCGGACTCGGACACCTTCCGCCATCCGCCGACAAATTCTGCCAACTGTTTGATATATTTTTATCCGCGAAAAATTCCCCACCGCAAACGGTCGAACTTTTTCTCCTCTTCCATTTTTTTTTCGAATTTTCCGTCATTTTTTTCGAATTCTCATCCGGATTCGAAACGATTTCTTCCATTAGAAAATCATTTTCGACTCGTCCGTTTTTCCTATGAAATCGATCCCGAGCAAATTTTATAGGATTGGGTTTTTGTAGGATGACCGAGGGGGGGGATTCTTCAGGTTTTAAGTGATTATTCGTCATGTATGATTTTTTTCGTCGTCCTCCCGACGTGGTAGTAGTAGTAGTAGTAGTAGTTATTTTAATTTTTTCATTTTTCGAAGATGATGTCATCTTTTTCCTTTCCGAAATTGGCTACAACATAAACAAGTCATCCAGAAAAAAAAAAATAATAATAATAATAATAAAAATAAGAAAAAAAAAAAAAAAAAAAAAAAAAACCGGGGCACAAAAACAGTATAAAATAAAAAAATAAAAGGCGGTAAAATAAAACTTATTTACAAAAACCAAGCATCGGACTCCATATTTTCTCACTCGGACAAACACTTTTTTAATGCAAACTAACTAACTAACTAACTAACTACAAAACATTACAAAACAACTACAATGGCGACTTTTAGTATAACTTTTTCCCTAACTGACTCTTTCTACGTGTCAAAAAATTTATATACAGTGCCTTATCATATAAATTCAACTGTATATTTGAATAATTACTGTAAAAACATTAAAAGCAATTAATTAAAACAACACTCGTTTTTAGCTATATAAACTTTCAAACTACCATATATTATTAATGATTGATAGATACGATTTCGTTTAGGATTTTCTCTTTTTGTTTTTCCCGCGAGCCCACGTGTGTGTGTGTGCACGTGCACGTGCGCTCGCGCTTTTTTTTTTTTTTCAAATTTTTTTTTTTTTTTTTTTACTTACAGAATGATTATTGAATTCTGTAGAACTCGGAGTTCCGATGAGAAACGCGGTGGATGCTGCTTTGTAATACATTGTCGCGGGTTTTTTCTCTTCCTTTTCCGTGTCCTCGTGAGTGACGACGCTAAACCTTCCAGTCTTGGTCTCTCTCTTGGGTTCTCTCGCTTTAACCGGGTCGTTGTTCGATTCCGATATGACGCTTACTTGAAACCTGGACACTTTCGACACGGCATTATTACCCCCAGATTGATTAATACTTTTACCATCCATCGATTTTTTCTTTTGCCTTTTCTTTTTCTACAAAAAAATTCGATTCAAGTCAAATTTAAACAAATAGAAGGAGTAATAATAATGATGATGATGATGATGATAATTTACCGAATCTATTATGTATCCGCCATCCGCTGAAGAATTCAATCCGAGTTCGACGGGTTGAATGGCGTTCACCATGGTCACAGGTTGAGGTTGAAGTAGTATGTGTCTCGTTCCTCCCGTGTGAATCTTTGACAATTCCTGTTCCAAATCGTGTAGATCAATGGCCGTGGGACGGACCCTAGGTTTTTCTTCTTTTACTTCCGCATCCTGTACCTGAACATTCGTGAACGACGAATAATCATCAATTAAAATTTTTAATATTTAAATCATTATTATTATTATTATTATTATTAACTTACGGTCGTCGAAGTAATCATGGTCACTGGTTGAACGGCCACTAGATTTTGTCCCGTTTTAGAGGGTTGATTCAATTGACAGGTCGGCAAAGAATGAATCAATTGACTTCCGGTTATGGGTTGTAAATTTATTATTCCTGGAGAAACGGTTGATAAATTTTGACTTTTTCCAACGGGCTGAACAAAATTCATCGTCTGATTATCTTTCATCCCTTGTAGATTTTGCACCGGCAACGCTTGAACCGGTTGCATGTTTTGCATAACTGGCGGACCTGATGGAAACAAAAGAAAAAATTTTTTTTTCAAATCAGAACCGATTGAGGCTGGGGAGAGGGGGGAGTGGGGGAGTGGGGGGAAAGGGGTTGAAACTTTGAAAAATTACCAATGTTAATAGGCTGCGTGACAAGCAAATTTGATTTGATTCCATCGAATTGCGATAGAGTTGCCGGCATCGGTTGAAAAGCGATTTGCTGTGCTGCCACCGGTTGTACGAGAACCGTGGGTGCTTCGACTCCCTCTGGAATACTCATGTGAGGATCAGACTGTGGGAAAGGAAATTACATTTGTAAGCATTGCGTGAGTCAAACTCATTTTTTTTATATATTAAAAATGGATGGAGAAAAGGGTGAGATGATATCATTATACCAAATTATGTTGTCCAACGGTCGGAGTGTTTGACAATCGCTGATGTAACGTTTGCATGTACGTCTGATAATTGAGATTAACGTGAGGGGTCGCGGGTTGACTCGGTGGTGTTCCAATTGCAAGCTCCGAAGGCTGCGAAGTGAGTTCGACGAGTTTTTGCTCTAAATCAGCTATCGTACGGGGAGCACTGAAAAGTGGAAAAATTATTTCTTTCTCGAAGAGATGACGATGAGGACTTTCTAAACTTTTACAATGCAAAATCCAATCTTTACCCTAAATCTTTTTCCGCGTGACAAGCGGTTATCGTGTTGTCGGGTGTGTATTGCTGTGTCGGTGTGTTATTCAAAGCCGGAGTGCAATCATCGCCGCTTATGACGCTGCATTGAGTGTCTGAACTTAATTTCCTCGCTGAACTTTCAATCTGAAGTAAAAAATCAAAATTTAATCAGGTACCACCAACAACAACAAAAATTTTCCGTTCTTCGGGTTTCGAAAAATTTACATCGGGTTGATGCATGGCCGAACATTTTCTTCCCCCGGACGATAATTGATCGCTCACGCTGTTATCTTGAAAAACATCCTGACAAAAATTCCCTCCTGGATTTTCTCCTCTCGACGGGATTTGTTTGGTGCTCGAGGATTCCAGTCCTTTCGCGAGTCCCTCGGTTACTACCACGGAGGATTCATCGGTCGCTCCTTTATCTACGACCGGACTGACTAGAAACCTTGATATTTTCTTTTCCCTTTGTTCGCTGCACGATTTTATTCTATCCAGGGGTATGTTAAGCTCTTGCAAATTGGGTGGAACGACGACAGACATTTTTCTCTCGATCGTCGTCGGCGAATAAACTTTCGAATCGGGTATTTCCATTTGACCATCGGGTTCGGGTACCATTTGTATTCCGCCATTTTCAGACACCATTAAAACTTGATTGAAATCTTGATTGACTACGGGTGGTAGGGAACTCGTTCCAGGTAGATCCTTTATCCCCCCCCAAAAAAAAAATTTTAATTTTAAATTAAAGAGAAAAAAAATCAATACGGATTTCGTTTCGATTACGACCAACCTGTGAAATGTATGATGAGGGCATGACGACTTCGCTGAATCTTTGATGTTTGACCGGACTCGATTCTTGGGATTTGAATAATGGTGGGGGTGTTATGTCGCTAAATCTTTGCTTTGTCGGCGTCGTCGTCAACGACACGGAAGTTTCATCTTTCTATAAAAAAAAAGAATTTAAATTTAAAATTCAATTAAAGATAAGATTTTTCTTATATATATATATATAATTAACAATTGTAACAAAGACATAAACCATGTCCAGTCAGTCTCTCTCTCTCTCTCTCTCTCTCTCTCTCTCTCTCTCCTTCTTTCTCTCTCTCTCTCTCTCTCCTTCTTTCTCTCTCTCTCTCTCCTTCTTTCTCTCTTTCTCTCTCTCTCTTTCTTTCTCTCTCTTTCTTTCTCTCTCTCTATCTCTCTCTTTCTCGATAAAAGCGAAAAACATGCCCACGGAAAAAATATATATATAAAATCACCAAGCAAAAAGCTACATTACTATAAATTTTAAATAAAACGATTGATTGATTGAATGATTGATTAATTTTTTGTGTGTGTGCGCGCGGGCTCACGATAAAATAATATTTTTAATAAATTGTTAAATGCAAATATTCATAATAACTTATTGAAATTCTAAAATATCTATCTATCTATATTCCTAATAATAATAAAAAAATAATAATAAGAATAATAATGACAAGAAAAGTCCCGAGAAAATCTGGAAAAGAATGAAAATAAAATTCGAAAAGTTTAGAAAAAAAAGCTGAAAAAGTTTAGAAAGGCTGTGTAGAAGATTAGGGAGGTTTCTCTGGATAAGACTGGAGAAGTCTGGAAAAAAATTCTGGAGAATACTGGAGAAGTCTGGAGAAAACTGGAGAAGACTAGAATAGTCTGGATATGCCTAGAGCAGTCTAAAAATTCTGGAGAAAACTGGAGAAGTCTGGAGAAAATTCTGGAGAATACTGGAGAAAACTGGATAAGACTGGAGAATATTCTGGAAAAATCTAGGAAAAAATTAATATCGAAACATTTATTCGTAAGGAATCGGGTAGAATTTTGGAGAATAAAACTCCTACAAGTGCAAGCATGGAATCTCGCGTTGAATTAAAATAATAATGATAATAATAGTAATAATAATAGAAATAATAATAATAATAAAAATAAAACATATTTCACGAAACGAATTCGGTACATAATTAACACAATTAATCAAACTTAACGTAAAAAAAAAACAAAAAAAAATTAACAATTTATATATATATATATAACCGACAGCAAAGCCCCGACAGCAAACGAAAAAAAATTTGCTGCCGTAACCGTGACCAAAAAAAAAAAAAAAAAAGCTACAAAAGGGATTGGCAGACAATATTTTGTGGTGGTGATGATTTTTAAATAGAAAAAGGTACCGTAATAACAACCATGACTTACTGATTGACGACGATGATGTCGATTTCTTCTGTAGCTTCCCGTCCGTGTTAGTGAACTGTGCCGAACCTATGATGTTTATCGTGTCAACGTAAAAATGATAGGAAATTCAATATGAGTCAAAAAAAAAAAGAAAACGACAAAGAAAAACGCGTCAAAAGAAGAATAAGAAGAATAATTAATAATTAGACAATTAAATGTAAATGTAAATGTTATTGACCCCCTGTCCCCCCCCCATCTTACCCCCCCTTTTTCTTTCAAATTTTCTATCTAACTTAATTTGATAAGTTTAATGATAAGCAAAGTACTTCCCCAAGTGAAAGTAACCCATTTTCCATCTAATCCTAATAATAATAATGAATAATTTTCAAGTTCTTACTTTCGGTTCCATACTTCTATCCCGATCCCTCGGTTTTCTCGACACGACAGGACTGCCAACGTTGGAAACAACATTTTCTCCCGGAATCATGCTCGTCGCGGGTAAAACCGGAATCTTGTCTGGATTCTCTTTGAGTTGCCGTATTAAATCCGCAACCAATTCGATCAAAACATCCGAATGTTGTTCCGATAATAAATTTTCTTGAACCTGAATAAGAAAAAGAAAATTCAGAAGAAGCACAATCGTGAGAAATTGTAAAAAAACAGAAAAAAAAATTTACCAAATTATTTGCTATATCCGCGGGTACCGCATCTCCCGTTTCGAAAGTGAACGTCACCGTTTGATGTTTGGACGTTTCCAATTGGCATTCGATCGTGGAACCAGTCAAACTCAAAACCGATAATTTGGGTCCGAAAGGCCGACTTTTCCTTTTGATCATGCTGGATTTTCTCGATTTCGATGATTCCGTCCTTTCCAATTTCGTTTCTTCCTTATCCATCATTTCCATCGTGTTTTCCATTGCATTCCCCTGATCGTCCGGATTATCTTTCGGATAATCGAAATTCTGATAATCCGCTATGGGTGTTATCGGTTGAGAATCGTAATATAGATTATCCCAAAGTTGATTATCCGTGCTGTTGCTCGCTTGACTGAAATCCGAATTATCCGCGAGATTTTTCGGTTTTTCCAACGGCATGTTATTTTGATCCGGGGAAGTGCTTTGACTAGATTCGACGTTGTAAGAATTATCCTGTCCGCTCGAGGGTAGATATTCTTGTTGCGAAATTTCAGAATGTCCATCCGTTTGAGAATTAGACAAAAAATCATCTTTCACATCGGATTTTTTATCTAACGACGTCAAATCGTTGTTCACAACTTCCGCCACTCCTTTCGGATACTGTTCGGGTATTGGTTGAAAAACAGGCATGGTAGGTTCGATGAATTGAACGTTATCGGAAGCCTGACTAGAAAAGGATTTCGTAGATATGGTCGATTCTTTTCTTCCCGAGCTATCAGAATTGTCAATCGTGACGGATTCTTTTCTCAAGGGTAAATCTTGACTGATGAGTAGGGGAGGAACGATGACGTTTGGTAGTATGTGAATATTTTGTATGTCGTCCAACGTCGTCACGTCTTTGACCATTTCCGATTTGACCGTGATTATTTGAGGTTCCGTTCTATTCGAAGAACCACCATTCAAATCTTGATTCGGTTGTTGTTGAATCGTCGCAATGACGGGTTGCGTCACTATCGTATTCGTTAAGACCGGTTGATAGTAGATTTGCCCGGTTAAACTCGTTCCAACCGTCGACGGTTGACCGGGTTGTACGGTGATCGATGTTGGAAAACTTGGATGAACGGGATAAGTTGTTCCCATGAAATTATTACCGCTTTGAACGGGAGTACCGGCAACGTGCTGAAAAATAAAATACAATCGTACACGTAAGGGATGATTCTGACGTGTGTCTTCCTCATGCCCTCATTACTAAACCTTAAAAAAAAAAAAAAAAAAAAATTTAATATAGACTGACTTGATGAAACACCTGTTGCACGTGCGTCGGAATTGGATTTATGTAAAATTGCTGTTGAAGAAAAACAGGTTGAACGTTTTCGTTCAATTGACCGTCGTTCGTCGATGTTAAATCCGCCAATTGTTCTCCCGTGTGAATGGTGACGTAACCAGAATCAGGTGGAACCTCGATTAAATGTTGCCTCTCTTCTCTCTCTCTCGTCAGGGATGCAATTTGTGATTTTAACATTTTGGCGACGCTTTTAGCATCCTCTTCCATTATCAAACCTGATTTTGCCTTTAAAAAACAAATCATCTCAATTTTCTTCTTTAATTACCTCCCCCTCCCCCCCACCAAAAAAAAATAAAAAAATTTTTTTTTTTTTTACCATTTCGTTAGCAACTTCATCCGCATTATCTTCGATGACGTGAAATTCAAATTGTATGGCTTCGTTTTCCTTGTGTTTGTTTCCCCTTTTTTTAGGATCCAACACGCGCAATCTAAATTCAACCTGTCGACAAAATTTTCATTATTATTATTATTATTATTTCCCCCCCCCTTTTTTTTTTTTTTTTCAAAATTTTTCCCCACCTTTTCTTTCATAGATGAAATGGCTTCATCCCTCGACACTAAATCCAATTTCAAACCTAAATCTTCGGCAAAAAATTCGTGATTCAACAATTCTTTCACTTTGGGCCTTTCTTCCTTGTTCAATTTGATGCACTTGTCAATGATGTCTCTGATTTCCGAATTCTCGACTTTGTCGTAACTTTGCGGTTTGACTCCGGACACGACTTTTTTGTAAATCTGAGCCGGACCCATGCATTCGCTGTAGGGATATTCCGACGTTGCCATTTCCAACATGCACATTCCGAATGCGTACACGTCAACGGATTCGTCGTAATGTTCCTCGTACATTTCGGGTGCCATAAATTCAGGCGTACCTGTAATCAAAATCATCATCATCATCATCATCGGGTTTTGAATATATTATTATCATTACTTTTCGTATTTACCTATTACGGATTTGGCAAACGATCTATTTTTCAGTGTTGCCAATCCCAAATCTCCTATTTTAACACAGCCAGTGGTACCAGTTATAAAAATATTATCGCACTTTAAATCTCGATGAATTATAGGCGGAGTTCGCGAGTGAAGAAACATTAAACCTTTTAAAATTTGTCGACACCACGATTTCAATACCTTTAAATTGATTTTTTTAAACCGTCGCAAATACCTGAAACCACAAACAAAAAAAAAATTAATGCGCCCTAAAAATTTACTCCAAAATAAAAAATTTTTTTTTTTTTTCCCGACTCACGTTTTTAACGTTCCCGACGTCATCAACTCCGTCACCAAAACGATGTATTTCCTCTTGGTCGGAGTCGCTTCCCAATAATCGAAAAACCTGACAATGTTGGGATGTTGCAATCCCTTCAACATTTCCGCTTCCTCGCGAAACCTTATCCGCTCAGTCTTATTCAATTTTTTCTCCTGCAATTCGCACCAGGCGACGGAAACTCCCGTTTGAGTGTCCAAACCTCGGTACACCGTTTTAAAACTTCCCCTCCCGATCTCTTCTTCGAATTTAAGGAATCTGCCATCGGGTGAGACTCCGATGGCTTTTTCCTCATCATCGTCTTGCGGTCCCTCGGAGGGTAAAAGTTTATCGGGCAAAGGTCGAGCGACGTCATCGTCGTCCGGGATTTTTTCAACGCCGTCATCGAATTCGTCGTGATCGACGAATCCCTTGCAGCGACCCACGTACCTCCCCCCGTCTTCCAAATCTCTCTTGTCGATTTTGAATTGACTCAACCTTCGTAATTTCCTGTTGTATTCCGGGAGAGTTTGACTGCTCAACGACTCGTACGGCCCCCCCTTTTTAAAACTAGAATCTTTACTAATATCATTTTTACAATAAATAATTTCCAAAGAATTCGATTTATCCATTTTACATATGCTTTCGCTACTACTGACAACCTTTTCGACAAATATCTGCGAATCACTTTTCCACAAACCCAATTTGAATTTTTTCAACAGGCTCGATCTTATGTTTGGTAATAGATCCTCGACGGCCCAGGACACTTCTTTAAACTCAATTGAATTTTGTTTATCCATTATTGAAACGATCGTTTGGAGGCTCGATGCTCCCGACGTGCTCGGACTCGACACGTCCATGCTTCTACGATTTTTTACTATGCTGCATTCCGATTTCGTTTCCTTCAGGGCATTGTCGAGTAGTAATTTATCCGATACTTTGTCCACCGTCTTCTTGTTGTTCGTCGCATCCAAACTCTTTGACATTTTTGCATTGACGATTCTCGTGTTCGATGACGCCGGAGTTTTCGACGACGAGATTTTACCATCTTTCTTGTCGAAAGAATTCGAACTCCTCGGACTCACCGATTTCGATTTCGTCAACAGAGTCGTCGGCCTCGATTTCGACGTTACCCCCTTACCGCTATCTATTTTCCCCTTATTCTTTCCCAATATTTCGAATTTTGTCTTTTTACCCTGATGACATGAAGCCTTTTTCGCCGGTCTAGTATCTTCTGCTTTTTTATTAACTTTTTTCCCATCGTTTTCCGTTGTCTCATTCACGGTTCCGGCCTTTGCTATTTCATTTTTACCCGCTTGTTTTTTCGACGGCGTGTAATGAATCGTGATTGAGGTTTCCTTCACGGTCGATTCTTTATTTTTATTTTTATCCGTGACGGATCCCTTATCCTCTTTGACCCTCAACCTCTCCCCTGATTTATCAGAATTTGAATCCACTACGGAAATCAACGTTGTTTCTCTCACTGATTCACGAGTCGACGATTTAATAATTTCCTTTTTATAATTACTACTATTATTATCGTGATTATATGATTCGATTCCGTTCGTGTCACCAATACTACTACTATTATTATTATTATTATTATTTATATTTAAGGAATTCAAATTTAAACTGTTTCGATTTGTTTTTTCTTCTTCGTCTGCAAAATGAAAAACAAACAAACAAACATTTTTTCTTTTTTTTTTTTTTTAAGGGGATGTTTTTATAAAAAAAAGGGGTAAATTACTCACCAATATTTATTTGACTCGGGGGTTTTTCTTTGTTTTTTACAACACTTGAATTTTCATCAATATCCGGCTCATTATTATCAACATGGTCGTCATTGTCCTCCTCCTCGTCTTCGTCCTCGTCGTCGTCGTCGTCGTACGCTACACAATTTTTTTTTGACACCTCGTTTCTTCGCTTGTTAAAAACTTTTGACTTTTTCCGGAAAAGCGAAAATACGAGGCTGGAATGATTTGAGCCCGTGGTTGAAAATCCACTTGATCAATGCGGCGTTGATATCCTTATCATAATTTCTTTTAGCTCATGTTTTTAACAAGAGTCTCAGACTTTTAAAAACTATAAATAAAAAAAAAAAAAAAAAATAATAATAATAATAATAATAATAATACAATGTATTCCATGAATAAATAAATAAATAAAATAAAATAAATAAATAAACAAATAATTTGTAATTTTTTTTATTGTTATCATTTTGCACTTTGCATTCCTCCTACCCTCCCCCTCCCCCTCCCTTCCCCTCCCGTATTTATATTAATTTATTGATGAATAGATAAGAAAAATTTTATTTTGCAAAAAATAATAATAATAATAATAATAATAACAATAGGAAAAACAGTAGGAGGCTTTTGAAACGTGACGGACACGATGACGGATGACTCACTTGATTTAATCAAATAAAAATTTCAATTTTACAACAAAAAAAAAAAAAAAAACAAAAAAAATAGAGTTCAATAAATTTTTTTTTTTTTTTTTTTATTCAGGAAATATTTATTATCTCTGTATAATTATCGTCGTGATTACGTTGTTTTGAAACCCTTAATAAAGAACAATGTAGTAGTACCACCACTACCACCACCACCACCACCACCCACCACAAATACATGACAATGAAAAAAAATAATGATGATGATGATGATGATGATGATAATGTCGTATTAAACTATAATTATTAGAATGTCACTCGATATAACCAATTATTATTATTATTATTATTATTTTTTTGTAATAAAAAAAAAAAAATTTTAAAGCGATAAATTATTCTTTTTGTTTTGATTTTGTAACACAAAACATAATTGTAAAATAAAAAATTTATAAATTAAACCTTATGTATGTAATTTATGTAATATTTCTTTTCCTACAAAAAAAAAAATCACCTCAAATATATTAAATTATTATTATTATTATTATTGATACTTAAATGCAAAAAGTAATTATCGAGATGTTATCACTTGCACTTGATGTAAAATTTTATAATAAACATGACACCATCTCCTGTTTGTTTTTGTTTTCCTCGATTAAATCGAATTGTAAAAAAAAACTCGACAAACTCCATACACGACACAATCGTTAAATCATTTACGAGATGAGATTTTTCTCTCTCTCTCTCTCTCTCTCTCTTGATATTAATGAGGAAGTTACATTTATTTAATGCAAATTTTTTTTTTTTTTTTTTATTAACAGAATCAAAAAATAATTAGTCATTTGATAAAATTAGTATTTAATTAGTAAAATTATCACACTTTTCTTTTCTTCTTCTTTTCGAATCATTCGATAATATGTAGGTATGAAACTAGGAAAAAAAAATTTTCCTTTTTTGTTTTTAAATTATGGGAAATGAAAAAAAAAAATGTTGGAGAGAATAATTAGACGACAACAATGATACATATATGTATGGTGTAAATCTCAAGTTCATGACCTTGATTTTCAATCAAATCATCATCATGCAACCAAAAAGATATTTTTCTTCATATGGAAGCTGCCGGGGAAAAAAAAATGCAATACAACCAAATCGAAAAATAATTTTTACTCTCTATATTACATCATTACCTCAAAAAAAAAAATTTTGTAAAGTAATTTAGTGTAAAAATTGTATTTTTAAAGGTAAAATCAATCTGAAAAACAGTACAAAATGGAATAAATAGGTATTATCAAAGACTCATGCCTGTAATAACGAATAAATTAATATTTATGAACGATGATTAAAAAGTTTTTAAAAAAAAAACTAACAAGTTTTTAAGAAGGAAAAACCTTTTTTGTTTAAACACATATTTTAATATTTAAATTTGTGGGGGGAAACAAAAAAAAAAAAAAAAAATTATAATTTAAGATGGTAATTAACCTTTTTTTAAGGTTTCGATTTCTTTTCGTTACCCCTGCATACACACATTCATACCAAGATTCTTTCATTTCGATTAAAAACTAAATAAAAGATGGCTAATTAAACACAAACACATGTAATGACATATAATAAACAAGATAGAACCTGAATATAAAACGATTTTTCGTACAGGTACGATAACATGATAATAATAAAAATGTTATTTATTGTAAATCTAAAATTAAATTAAATTTAAGACGCATTGAAAATAATTTATATATAAGTCCGTTGGAATATTTAAATCAAAATCGATTATGTGTCAATAATAAATAAATAACAGTTTAAATTATTATAATAAGATTTAAGAGAAAATAATAATAATAATATGTAAAAAATTAAAAATTTTGTAAATAAATTCTTTCGTCATATGATTCAACCTTCATCCAATATACTTACGATTAGACACAATTCGAATGAGTACAATTTTTAAAATTTTTATCAACACACACAATTTTTAGTTTAATTAATTTAATATGAATTATGTAAGCATTAAACTTTTAACGTTAATCAATTTAAAATAAATAAATAAAATTAAAAAAAGTTAAAATAAAAAAAAAAAAAAAAAAACAGCAAATCAATCTTTGTTAATGAGCAAATGATCTCTCTTTAATGAGAGCCAGACTAAGATTCATAAGGAATAAAAATGAATTCATTCATCAAAATGATCAAGATGATTTCACAAAAAAAAAAAAAAAAAAAAAAAAATAGAATGAAATATTCTTAAACGTGAGTATTTAATTATTATATATATTCGGATGTTAACGTAATTAAAAAAAATATTCGTTTACTTACACTTATATAATTAATTTACAACTGCGACATTGTATGCAATCCAATGCCAACTTTCAATAACGTATGTTTTTCATTCTGCTCAAAAAAAAAAATAATAAATTGTCGGGTCATTAGACCGGTGATCGGTTTGACAACAAAAACGCTCCGCCTTTTCGAACGGTAATTTTTTTGTTCAAAAAATCGTCAAAATGTTTTCTTTCAAATTTTACTACCATTCAAATTAAATTTTAAGATTTATTTGTTATTAGATAAATTGATAAGATATTTATTATCACTTAGAATTATCATTATTACGATATCATCATGAAAGTATTTACAATTTGTGGGAGATAATAATTTTAATAAACAATATCAATTAAAAAAATTTTTTATTTAAATAAATACAGCAAAAATAATTATATATATTATAATACAATCTTGTTAATTAATATAATATAATAAAACATTTTTTTATTAATAGGTTCACTAATAATAAATTATTTATCATAAAAAAAAAACTGTTAAAACTATTTTTTTTTTAAAATTTATTTCAAACTCGAAAGGAACATGAATTTGAAAAGAAAAAAATATTTTTTTTTGGTATTTTCGATATTTAATTCATACTTTTGAAAGTTATAAATTTTCTGCTGGTGTTATTCCAAAAAAAAAATCATATGTAACATGTTTATTGAATTTATGTTTATAGATTCAAAATGGCTGTGTAACATTTTCTTAAACATAAATAACAACATTTAATTTTTTTCTACTTAGAATCGAATAACAAAATTAATATGATTATTTTATTGATATTTTTTTATTTAAAAGAATCAAATTATTCTTTTTACATAAGCAAATGTAGACTTAGTTAAATAACTATTTTTTTAAACGCCTTAAATTGTATGTTAGCTTCGAGTAATATTGAAAATATTAATTGGAAAAATTCTGTCGATATTTGTACGAAATTTTTATGTAAATTGCCCATTTTAACTCACATAAATTCTATTATTAAATAAAATTTAATTAAGCAAAGGAAAGCACTTTGATATTAACATGTAGTAGGAAAAAATTATACAATTTTTCTTTTATCAACATTGAATTACGATTTAGGTTGCCAAAATTTACTGCTTCCTCTAGTACCTTTCGATTTAACCACTGGTTTTTTCGTTTTCTCTCCAGTTTGCGCCAAAGCTTCTCTAGATTCATTATTAATTGTTTCATCATTTTCTACAGCATTTGTTTTAAGTGTTTTTTTAATATTAGCAATTTCTTGTTCAATGGCTTCCCTATGTTTTATCTTTTGATTTTTTTCATTATTCGCTTTATTAACTTGAGATTCGATGCATGCTAAAACAGCTTCACACGAATCGCACCATTCTTGAAGAGTATTTACAATTGCTCCAATATCTTCTGGTCTAATATCTCTTCCTATGGCATAATCAATTTCAAGTTGACTGTTTTTTTGATCTAATTTACCTTGAATTATATCAGAATAAATTGCTTCTATAATTAAATCTTCTAAATCTCTAACATTTTTCACATCGAGCTCTTGAAGTAATACAGAATAAGGTATGCATTTCATTTTAGTTGCTAATGTGACTATTGTCAAATGTTGAAGTTTTTTCTTTTGAATATCCGTCAGTTCGATAAATTTACTTTTATTATTTAAATATTGCCTGTAAGTGCCGTAAGCAAACAAGTTAAGAGTATTGAAATAATTAGAGTGTGGCCCATTGTCAAGCTCTAGAATATTTGGCATATCCAATAATTCTCCGAAAACGTGAACACCCGGCGCTTCCAAAACTTGTTTAATTAACTCTAGAGCAGCTGCTCCTTTTGTACTTTTAGCCAAAAGAACAAATTGTTCTAATGGATTACTCCCCGTGGCAGAATTTTTATTTTCTATTATCGAATTGTTTTTCATATTTTTATTTCACAATACACCTACACGACTTTAATATATTTGTTTGAATTCGACTTCAGTGCTGCCAACTATATTTTACATCCATTAACGGTACGTTGCTGAACTAAACTACTAGCGCTCTCTACGTAATGTAATACATTAGTCAAAGGAAAATTATTATTATTTACCTTTTTTTCTTCCTTTTATTCGTTTATTAAATTAATATTTAATTAATAAAAATAATAATTAATATTTCGTTTAATCAAAAATACAGTTAAAATTATTTTATTATTTCAAAACAATTCACATATAATTTAACTAGTTTACAATAAGCAAAACAAACATTTACAAGGGTAAAAAAAAAAAAAATTTTTATTTAATTGACTGACAGACATTTTACATTCGTTTTTACATTTATAATTTACCCCGTGAAAAAAAAATATATAATAATAATTAAAACAAGGAATGTCATTAGAAAATAACTGATAAAAATTGATAAATGACACAACAGAATGAACACATTAATCTCAATACAATTAATTATTTTTAATCGTGTAATAAGAGTTCATAATCAATTAATTTTTTTTTTCAATGATTTTTCTATAAAATTACAACATTTTGTAATTTTTTTTTTTTTTTGTTCAATTGTACTACTACTACTACTACTACCATCATTTTCGAGTGTAACATTCGGCGATTAAATATTTACAAAAAAAAAAAAAATGCAAAGATTAATCGTATAATTGAAAAAATTAAAAGTTTAAACATTAAAATTAAAATTTTGTACTTTTTGTTTTGTGCGTGTAGCATATACATATATTTATACATAAATATTATCATTATTATCTATTTATTCTTTATTATAAACGACAACAAACTTTTTCCCCATTTAAAATTTTCCTTCAAATCTCATTTTTTATATACGATCAATAATAAATTATCATCATTATTATTGATTTATCGATTTACAATATTACATGAAAAATATCAACATTAAAGCATTCCATTATTATTATTATTATTATTATTATTAATTAAAATATCTCATTTTTTATTTATTAAAAATTATTAAAATTTAAATTAGCTGCTATTTTATTATATCTCGGTTTTTGCGAATAAAATTTCGACGATGAAACCGTTGAATTTTTCTGAAATCAAAAAAAAAAAAAAAAAAAATGAAATTAATTATTATTATTATTATTATAAAAATTATTACTCTATGAAATTAAAAAAAAGCCCAAACGAACGATTATATAAAATAATTACGTTTGATTCCTGAGGAGTTGTTTGATTCGGTTGACTTTTATTCGCGATTTTTATCGATTCGTTATTATCATTATTATTACTATTACTATTATTATTATTATTAGTGTTTTGTTTCGTCGTCGCGATGGGTTTGATCGTTTTCATACCGGTTATGGCTTGAAGAGGCACAAAACTTAAGGCAGATGATTTCGGTGGTGATTTGCATTCGGATGAATTTAATTTAGTTTGATTCGAATTACTCCCGCTCTGCAATTTAAACCAAAAAATTATTTTTTATCCATCGAATTTATTTGAAATAATTTAATATCATTTATTTACTTCCGTTTCCGTTTTTTTCCCGAAATTTTTAACGACGGATTCGTTTTTTGGAAAATTCAAATACGACGATTTCGATTTCGTACTTTTCGCGACCCATTGCCTCGGGGGTTGCGGCAACTCGTGCGGTAAAAAATCATTTTTTTTCTTTAAAATTTTATATTCTTCTTGATCGTGGTAAAAATCATCGGACGAATCGTTAAATTTCGCCCCTTTCCATTGATTATGATTTATCCTTCTCCTCCACTCTCCCACTCCCCCATCGTGCGAAACCCTGTCACCGTCTCGGGAAAATATCATGACGTCACCTTTTCCCATTTTCTCCTTCCCATCATTCAAACTCTTCAATATTTCTTTGGCGACCATTTCGCTTGCATCGTATTTATTATCGCATAATTGACTATTATAAAGCTTCCCGTTCGACCATAAAATTTCTCCCACGACGTGTTTATTTCCGACATATTTAAAATTTAAATTTGGTATTCTAATATTATTATTCAAACAATAATTATTCAATTGGTCCATGTAATTAAATTTTGTTTTTTGATTATGATTTTCCGCCATGATCGTCGAATGCGGATAATGATGATGAATCGGTACGGAAGGTGATTTTCCCGTTTTTTTTCCCATCGTTGATATCATCCCGTCGAAAAATGATTTCACCGGATCTTCTATGACTCCCGTCGTCGTCGTCGTCGTCGTTGATGATGATGATGATGATTTTTCCGAATTATCAATTTTCAATAATTTTTTCAAAACGTTCGTCGTTTCGTTTTCGGATTTACCACATTGCAAATCCGTCCACATTTTCGTATAACGATCATCATCATCATCATCGTTATTTTTTTTAAATTTTTCCCCGGAAATCGAACTGTCGAATTTTGCAAATGCGGATGTTATCCTTTTCCCGTTCCCGTCTCCTTTCGATCCTTTGAAATTTTTTTCACTTTCTTCAATTTTCGAAAGACCGTCGTTATTTAATTTTTGCACGACGTCTTTTTTATCCTCCGTTATATTCAATAACGAACATTCCGACATTTTGTAATATTTATATTCTATCGAATGTATCGTTTCGCCCCCCAAAAATGGCTCGTCAAAAAGTACTCCGTAAAAATTTTCATTTTTTTCTTCTTCATCTTCGTAAATACCTGACGGGTAAAAAAAATTTTATGTAAATTTTTTTGTCGATGATAATATACAAAATATACCGATAATATTACCGATTATCACTCCTTTTAATCCTACGGGAACGGGACCGGATGATCGTATGGAAACAACTCTATCGTATAAAGAATGAACGACATTAACGTCCGGTGGTAAAACGTTCAAATTCAATTCACTCTACGAATGAAAAAAAAAATTTCAATTTAATTTCAATTATTTTTAAAATAAATTAAGACTGGATGAATGAATGGATGGATGGATAGATACCCTGTATAACAAATTCGGATTGACGAATATATTTTGAATTTTAACATTTTCTTCGTTATTCGTCAATGCTTCGTTTATTTTTAAAATTTCATCCTTTTCCAACATTTCCGAATTTCCCGACACGAATTCTAAATTTTTATATTCTAAACTTTTAAGCCAATCTCTTAATTCGATTAATCTTTCTACCTCTGAAAACAAAAACAAAAAAATAAAAATAAAAGTAGGTCAAAGTTTTCAATAAAAGGGTATTCCCCCCCTAAAAATTTTCCCAACTCACTCAATTTAGGTTGAAATTCATTATTCGAAAGAAATTTAAAATCATCGAGAGAGGACAAAGCTTCGACAACTTCCGGAAATTTAATCCTGTACATTCGGGCAACTTCGACGGCTTTTTTCGAATACATCCAAACGTTTTTTTTTTTCGCCGCATATCCCATAATTCCCTGATTCCTTTTATTTTGTTTCAATACCAATCCAATGTTGATTTTCGATTCTTTTTTAAATTCCGGATCGTCGACGTCGACGTATAAATACCCGGTCATGTGACAAAAAACTTCGTAATCGATTCCGGCCAATCTACTCGCTTCTCTACCTGAAAATTTAAATAATGAGAGCATGTAATAAACGTGGGAACGACAATCACGCACAGCTAAATATTATTATTATTATTATTATTATTATTAACGCACTGTAGTAGTATTCTGTTTTTTTCCCGTGCAATTTCAAATTTTCCAACGTGTTTTTCAACAGAGACGATTTGGATTCCGTGACTTGTAAAGCCACTTCCAAACGGCTCCCCGGTAATAAATTTGAATTATCTAAAATTTTTCCCATCGATCCGAAATGTGGTTGTCCTAAAAACAAAACCGATGATCCGACGGGAAATGCATCTTTAACGGTTTTATAATTTGTATTATTCAAATCTCGAATTAAATCCGTGACGAGAGTTTGTAAAGGATATTCTACGATTTCCGACGACCACTAAAATGATAATAATAAGATTTTCCTTACTCAATTATTATTATTATTATTATTTAAATATTTTTTAATAACGCGATTTTTCCGATCGTCATCTAGAAACATAGATACTTAATTTTCCTTACCAATTTTTCATTCACAGCATTACCCATTGAATCAAATACGTATTTTTGACCTTTATTTTTTTTAACGTAAACTATGACCTCGACCGGCCCTATTTTAATTGCTTTCCTTTTCGAATATTTCGTTTCGAATGCATTTGCACACGCGATAAATTGTTTAACTTTACTCTCGTCCAATGTATCTCTCCTAATTTCCTTATCCCGGATTAAAGTATATTTAATTTTACCATCCGACACTGCTACAACTCTAAAAATTTAAAAAAATTTCATTTGATTCCCGCGGGGGGGGGGGGGAAACATAAATGCGAGATATTTTAATTGAAAATTTCAAGATAAAAGATCCTCTATACCATTTTTTTAATAAAATTATATAAATGATAACTCACTTGGCTTCATCTAAAAATGGCCACCTCACGTGAACAATTTTTCCCAATAAATCATCGGCTACATTTTGTAAAGATGTCATTTCGTTTTTTTCCAACGTGAGCACGACGCTTATATCATTCCCGGACCACGTCCATTGTTCCAAATTGATTTGCATTATGCAACTCTGTAAAATCAAAAAAAAAAAAAATTCATGCACCGTCGCCATCGCCATCACCATCACCATCACCATCATCATCATTTTTAAATAATATACACAAATTATAATAGGATAATAATAATAATAATAAATTAAGAATATTACGGTGTATTTTAAATATTTTAATCTTGGAAAAACCGGCCCACCTAAAGGCGAAACACCCGGTCTTAAACCGAAGACCATTTTCGATTTGTCAACCAAAATCGAATTATGCCATTTTTCAATTACTTGCGCATGATTTGCTAAAACGTCAGGGAAATGATTCGAGATTTTATAAACTCCTAAAAAAAAAAAAAACATTTATTTATGTAAGGTAATAAAAGGTATACACATTCAGGTATAAGGTATAATTAATTAAAAAAAATTACCGAGATTTTTATCCGTGTATGTATAAATAAGCATAGGAGCATGACTGTTTCTTATTTTTTCTTTTTCTGTTAATTTATTTCTTAACGGTGTAGTATATTTTAAAACTTCATCCTATAAAAAAACACATTTTATGTAAAAATAAATAAATAAATAAATAAATTTAAAATTATTATAATTATTTATTAACCTGATCGACGAATGGAATTAAAATAATAGATTCCCAATCTGCTTTTTTACCATTTAAATCCCTTTTAAAATCATCGGGAAAAAAATCTTTTAGCGGGGAGTCAGTAGAATTCATTAAATCGTGATAAACTTCTGGAAGATAATTTTTTCTAAAAAAACGAAATTTTCCTTTTTTTTTAATTTTCCTTAAAAAAAATCATCAACGAGAAAAAAAAAAAATTGTTTATTTTACAAACCCCGAAGCTGGAAGTATGGACACCAATTGATCAAATGGTAATAAAGGTTCTCCTTTATTATATTCCAGATTATAATCTTCGAAATTTTTAATATCTGATAAAAAAGGGGAATAATGATAAGGATAATACCAAGTCCAACTCGCACATCCGTGAAAATAATAAAATAAAATCCATTGAATTGTTTGAATATAATTTTTTGTCAGATTTTTTGATATGTCCCTTAAAAAAAAAAATAATAAATAAATTTAAATTTCAAAACCTTTTCATTATTATTATAATTAGATTTTTGGGATAAATATTTGTAAAAAACTCACTCCGTCATTTCATCAAAACACATTTTATCGCTATAATAATTTTTTTTCTTCATTTTAAATTCAAATAAAAATGTATCATCATCATCATCATCATCATCATGATTTTCTTCTTCGTCGGAAAATTCAAACATATCATTCGTTGATTTAATTAATTCTTCTAAATCGCTTTTTCTTTTTTGAGATTCATCTGATAAATCATCCTGTTTTTAAAATAAAATAAATTTAAAAAGGAATAAAATAAATTTTTTTTTTTGGTAAATTTTCCATGGAATACAAAAAAAAAAATATTAAATTTACATCATTTTCAAATGGTCGTAATTGATTACATTTTCCTTCGAGAAAAGCAAGATCGGCAAATGTTTCCCTAAATGATTCCATATCGTGTTCGGATAATTTATTTAAAAATTTTTGAAATCTTGGTAAATTTAAATATCCATTTAAATTAATGTAACCGTCTAATGTTTGAATTATTTTTTTGTATGCCTCGAGCACAACCAAAACGCCATTCGTATCGATTTGTATATTTGGTAGATTTGGTATAAAATCATTTCCCATCAAAAAAGTCATAAGAATCTAAAAAAATAGAAAAACAATCAATCAATCAATCAATCAATAAATCAATCAACGTATTAACGTAAAGTTTTTTTTAAAAATATGCCTTTTTAAATAATTATGGTTAATACATATTAAAATTTACAATTAATTTTAAACCTAAACCTCCATGGAAAATGGACACAAAACCTTGGATTTATTATTGATAAAAACGAAAATAATTTCAATTAATAAAAAATAAAATTTAAATAAAAAATGTGAACAATAATCACTGCAACTGGAAAATAATGAATAATCGAGTAGTGATAATAGAATTTTCAAAAATTTATTTTTATAAATTAAATAATTTAATACCATTGCATTTTTCGTTTTTTTGGTTTTTTCCTCTTTTTTTTTTTTTTTAATAATTTTCATTCAGAGATATATACATATATATTCGGGTTGAAAATTTTTTCAAACTAAAAGCCACTTGCCCTTGTTTATTTTGACTACAAAAAAGTAAAAAAATAAAAAAAATAAATTTGCAAAAAAGATATTTCAATTTTAAAATTATTTATATAAATTTGTAATTACTATTAATTTATATTCTTTATATAAAATGCAAGCAGTTAATAGTTTTTATTTAATTTTTAAAACAAAAAAAATTTAAAAGTTTACGACAAACTTTTTCCATTTTCCCCCTTGTTAATCATAACACATACCCAATCATCGATCAGATGTTCCAAATCATATTCGAAAGGCAAACAACCTTTTAATTCTTGAAATTCTAAATCTAAATAATCTCTTAAAATTGATAAATGTACAAAAATATTTTTTTCTTCTTTTGATGCATTCGATTTTTTTTCTTTCGAACTGGAATCAGGCTAAAAATAATTTTTTAAATTAATAAAATCAATTATACACTAAAGTATACATTTTTAAGAGTTAATATTTACATCTCTTCTTAAAATTGAAACATTTATTTCATGTAGTGCAAGTCCAAGAAGCATTAAATCAGCATCAGAACTATAAATACAATGTCTAATGTACGGATCGAAATCTGATGTCGTTCTCAGGTACCTAATATAATCCATAATTTTATGCTCTCCTTCTCCAGGAGTCTTATTTAAATCAAAAAACAAAAAAGAAAAAAGTTATTAATTTTTAATTCTGGCATTTGAAAAAAAGTTAAATTTAAATATTTGCTTACTTTATACCCTGAATATATAACTACAATTTTTTGCCACATGGAATCTGTCGATATTTTTTTCCTAATAAAATAATTTAAATGCTTATCTAATTCTTCCATAAATTCTGTACCAGGACTGATACATAATGAATTAAAACTGAAAATAAATAATTTTTAGCAATAAATAATTTTATCCCTATTGTAAGACTAGTATTTTTTGTAATTAATGTACTTCTCGTCTGGAATCGGTTTGCCTTCGGCCAATAGCTTCTGATTTTCATTTTCTAATTCTTTAGCCGCTTGAAACCTTCTTCCTCTTTGATTATTCATTTTTGCTTTTGGTGCGACTCCATCGACAGATAAGAAAAATAATTTTTTGGGTTTGATTAAATTAAATAAAAACTAAAATCAAAATTATAATTACATTAAATTTTCTATAACACAATTAAATATACGAAATAATAATTTTTTCTTTTCTAATATTAACTTACCTCTATATAAGTAAATATTTTTGAAAAAATTTCTTTAGTTTTCCCACTTGCCGTTTCATCTTTAAAACACACATGTATAATTTCATTTAAATCGATATAAAAATTTTCAAAATGAGGAACCTAGAAAATTTGAAATTTTAAAATATGTTTATCATTTTATTTATTTATTTAATATAAATTATTAAAAGATAAATATATTTTTTCATATTAATTTTTTTTTTGATCTAAATTTAAAAGAGAAAAATTTTAATGTAAGCATATGTGTATGTGACAAAAAAAATAATTTTATGTAATTGTTTTTTTTTTTTTTTTTTTTTGGGGTAAATTAAAGCATAATGTTGAGTGAAATCGTACATAATTTTATCTTTTTCGATTCATCGAATTTTCGTTTCAAAGAAATAATAAATCTTGAAAAATTATTTAGTAAAATATAAGGTTTAAATTGGAATTAATATAAATGTATAGAAATAAAATTTCTCACTTGATGAACTTCCACATAATCCGTTACACACGGATATCTTCTATTTATAAATCGATACAACCTTGGAACTCCCATCTTTAAATAATTATAAATAAAATAATATATATCTGAAAGTGTTTAATTTTTTTTTTTTTTTTTTTTTAACTCTAACAGATTTTTAAAAAAGAATATTCAATATTTTTCCCTTTGAGTTACAACATTAATATTTCTTTTTGACTTAACCAGCACAAAGACAAAGCTGTTTACGATGTTGAACGATTAATTACCGCAAAAAATTTACACTAGCAAAAATTTCAAGACCGTTAATTTTTTTCTATCTTATTAAAAACCGTTACGTGATATAAATTTTCTATTTGTCATTTTCGTTTGAATGTTTAGGGGGAAAAAAAAAAAACAAATTTTTTTTTAAGCTTATGAAAAAATTATTTTTATTGTAAATCTTATTAAAAACGTATAAATAAAATTTAATAATTTTATTGTAAAATTGTTAGGAGATGTTTATAAATGTTGTCCGTTTTGGAGGCTTTTACCAGTGCGACTATGAATGAATCTTTTTGACTTGCTTCCGTTAACTAAAATGTAAAATGTACGTTGTTATTTTAACCCTATAAAAGTTAACCATCCGAAAAAAAAAAAATTTCTTTTAACGAACGAACCTGTTTATAAAAATGCACGCCCAATAAACACATCAACTTTTTATCTTCGTCGTTTGTCATTCTTACGCGTGATTGCACAAGCGGGAATAAAGATCTGAGCCATGGATCTTTGCTGGCACAAATGAAAAAACAATTTAATATCCACACGGACATCGATGTCGGCATACCGTGTATGAGATTTGGTAATGAAAAAACAATCCAATCTTCCAATATATTCAATTCTGCTCTTTCAAATACCTACACGAACACACATAATAATAATAATTTTTTTCTTTCAATTAAGTAATTGGGAAGAATAAAAGCACCATCCCCACCTCCCCCCATCAAACTTAATTTAATTACTTTGAAAAGAAGACCGGCTAAAATTTTTTGATGTGGTTGTTGAGATGAAAGAAATTCCTGTATCACTCTTGTAACTATATCGGATGCTGTGAAATCCATTAGAACATAAGAGAGAACTTCTCCAACCGTTTCAGCTTCGTTCGGATAACTTTTTTTCAATTTATTAAAAAGCGCGTTGATTTTCTCCATGTCTTTCATCACTCTTTCCGGATCTTCTTGTCCAGTCACCAACTGTCTTATATCTTTTATTCTTTTGTCTGAAATGAATGTATAATAATAATAATAATAACAACATTTTCCACATTTAACAACATTATAAAAAAAAAAAAAAAACTCCAAATTTAATAAGAAAATTAAAAAACCTAAAAACGATAAAACCATCATGAGTTGTAAACCGTGCTCACAACTTATGCTCCCCGTCCTGTGGGAAATTATTTCAAGGGAAACTTTTGAAACTTGATCTTTGAATTGATCGTCTATGACTGTGGTGAGAAGTAATCGTTCAACACCCTTTTAAAAAAAAAAATTTTTTTACAAAAATTATCATTAAATCAAAACGAATTAAACGAAACCATTTTCTCTCTCTCTCTCTCTCTTACTCTTATTAAAAGTGTCACTAGAAAATCCGGACACGATTTATCTCTCAGAGTGCTTAATATGTACGTCATAAATTCGTCTTTCAAATAACCGAGAGACGATTGATAATTTTGTAGGAGGTAAAATATAAGAGACCAATGACAACGTTCGTAATCTTCCGTGATTGTTTCGCTGGAAAATTAATAACGATAAGCAACGCGATAAAAAAATAAAAATAAAAACACAAAGCAGAAGACATTATTTTATAACTCACGTTTTACATTTAAATTGTTGCACCACTTCGAGTGCCACCGGTAAAAACGTATCGACGATATTCGCAACAAAATTTGCTTCATCCCTTTGAAAATTCGAACCTGGCGGTGGTAGAGATTTGTGATTGACGGCGTAGCAAACCACGTAACTTTGTAGCAAAAATAAAAGACTTTGTACCGTTGCTATGCGACAGGGATAAGAATTTGATCTCAGCATTAATTTTTTTACACTTTCGCAGACTTCATTATCCTGACAGCAAAAAAAAAAAAAAAAAAAAAATTTGAATAATGAATCGTCAATAATCATCGCAAATAAAAATTTTTCAAAATTTACCGGAAGTACTATGGCTCCGGCTTTCGATGCTCCGAATATAATCAATGGTAAAAGAACTGTGTCTTCTGCTGACACGATTTCATCGATTTTAAGACAAAAATTAAGCAACCATTGAAATTGAGATATATCCGTGAATAAATCCGATATGACGATGGCACTTTTCAACGAGGAAATTATTATTTTTACATCCGGCGAAGTCTATTAAAATCAATCAAATTTTGTTTTTGTATTTTAAATTGGTAGAAAAAAAAATTTAAATAAAAATTAGAAATTATACTCACCTGATGTATCCACTGACTGTATAATTCGGTTAGGAGGTACACGCAAGAGGGTAAATCCAACCCTTTCGAATTTAATTCTTTCGTGTGATTTTCATACAATTCCACGTGACTCGTTATTTGTTTCACCGCCGTCCACAAATATTCAACGGAAAGCAATCCGAAAACGTACCTTAAAATTTCATTATTATTATTATTATTACTATTGTTGCTGTTGTTGCTGTTTCATCGTTGAATTTCATCAAAAACGTTTAATACTTGTCATCTCTTTTCGAAATTTCCAAATTATCCAAAAAATGATAATATCTATGAGCGATTAAGTCTTTACCATTGTTACCACTCCCCAAAAGTGGTAATTTATCGTAAAAATTTTTCATTTTTAAAAAATCTCGTCCGTGATGAATAAGTTTTTCTCTTTTGAAATCCAACAGCGTGCTTTTAAGAAGTGTCGTTATCCCTTCGACGGCAGCAACACTCGTCTAAAAACACGAAAAAAAGTTCACATTTAATCCCTGAAAAAAAAAAAAAATTATATTAAAATTATATGGCAGTACCTGTACGATGAACCTCGTTTCTTCCAATGGTATATCACCTTGCGTGTTGAATCCGACGACTCCCAACAAAGCCACCCATATTTCTTCAAATTGTTGTTTATTATTCCAACCGATTATTGAAAATCTCGTTGTAAAATTTTCTATGTATTCGATATCTTGCATGTCTACATTTTCAGGTACTTTTAATACGTGTGCGCTAAATTCAGGTATCCGACACAAATCGATAATTAAATCCCTTAAACAAAAAAAATATATATATACCGTTTCGGAATTATTTAAAAAATTATTTTTAGTGTTATTTCATATTTACCTAATAGAATACGACAAATAAGTATCAGGTAATGTTTTCCTACGTTTACACGTTATTAATTTCGTTAGAAAATTTAAGACGTCTAATTCGTCACGATTCGATAAATCGTTTTCATTATTTATAACAAAAGTAAATCGATTTTGAGATATTAAATAAATAACAATGTGATAAATATGTACAATGGAACCTTTTAATTTTTTACAAACGTACGATTGTGATATATTATTAATTATATTTAAATTTCTCAATATGAGACTCAAACAGAGGAAACTATTTTTCATATTTATTTGATAAATTTTGTATCTGCATCGTTTCGATTCCTGATCACGTATAATCCAACCTAAAATCTTAAAATAAAAAGAAAAATCATTAATAAATAAGTGACAAATATAAAATTCTTTTTCCGCCATCTTTAATTTCTAAATAATCAAATGTTAACTTACATCGAGACATAATATTCCAAATTCAAATATTCCAACGGAAAAATCGCATTCGATAATAGAATTTTCATTGTAAAAAATTTCCAACAAATGATTAACTCCCGGTAACAAATTCCATATTTTTCCATTGAGTTTTTTATCGGACATTATTTTTTCGATCACTTCCGGTGTATTCGTATCCACGTTTAACACATTTCTAATTTTTTTTATTCCATCATTAATTTCCTTTATTGAACGTAATAAAAAAAATTTCGATGCTTTGTAAAGAGAATCCGTAGAATCTTCATTTTCTACATCCTCGCATTTCAATCTTTAAATAACAAAAAAAATAAAAATGGCCATCGACGGATGTGCTAAAGAAATCAATTTTTTTTTTTTTTTTTTAAATTTTCAATAAATTTCTACCTTATGTTCCTTTTATAAATCAAACAATCTTTTAACAAATCCATATTAAAATCCGATAATGAAAAAACATTTAAAATTTTTTCGTATTTTAATTTATTTATAAGAGGAGCCATTGCCATTCCTTGCGATCTCTCTTGTGTGCATCTACGATTTTGACAAATCATTATTATTATTAATTATTATTAAGGGAACCTTAAAGAAAATTTTCTTTTTTACCCGTATTTAACTTGAGCAAAGTACCATTCTTCATCAAGTTTATCAATATTTTTTATATATTGTTCTTCCACAACAGGATTCGAATCGATATCTGTGAGTGAGGATTCAAAAACTTGTTTGCTTAATCTTTTTAATAAATTCCATAAATTAAAATGTCTGAAATTTAATTTTTAAAAAAAATTTTTTATATTTTTTACCCAGACGAATAACTTTTTATGTGTACCAATAATACCTTCGAGCATATTTATCATCTTTGAAAAAATTCAATAATTCATTAAAAGTTTTTTCGTCGATTTTTTCCAAAACTTCTTTTCTCGAAAGTGTCAAGTAAAATTCAACGTGTCGACTCGCTATGTTTCCAGCCAATAGGGAAAGAGCCAATTTCGACGAAGACAAATACCTTTGAACGATTAAAACGAGAAGGGGAACGCTGTGACCACTCTCTGTTAATTCCAGAATCCTCAATAATTTTTCCACGAATTGCGGCGATTCAGAAATTTCGAAATCATTCGACGATATTGATTCGATTAAAATTTTCCAATCCGGCGTTTTTGCTATCATTATCAAAAGTTCTTTGACCGGAATTTCCCGAGATAAAATAATTATTTGCTCGATGTTATTAACTAATACGTAATGCAATGTTTCGACGTCGCTCAAATTGTCACACTGAAAATGATTACGAATTAGTTACGACCGTCTAATCCCCGACCCGATTTGATTGAATCTTACCAAGTAATCGCAAATGGCGACAACGCTAGACCATTGAACCAATCTTGCAGACATGTTAACGGGTTTGGATAAAACATCTTTCCAATACATTTGAGAACAGCAATTGATGAGAGTTAGAAAATATGAAAATTGAATCGTCAACAGGGGACAAACGTAAATAAATTTTTTAAATGGAGAAAAAATGGCCGGAAGAGAGTCCTGCTCTCTCGCCAATAAATTTCTAAGTGAATTTGTTATTCTATGAAAAGTCCCTGAAAAAAAAAAAAAAAAAAAAAATTAAAATTAAAATTATTAAACGGAAATGGGGGGTCTTGTCTCGATTAAATTTCGTACCTGATTTTAATATGTGATAAACGCAAAGGAAAAATTTCGAAAGTTTCCATTGCAAAACGTGAGACGAATTGATATTTTCCGAAATTTTATTTGACGCCATCATGATAACTTTTAATATGAATCTCGCCGCGGTTTCCGACGGTTCGTATATTTGAAAAAACGAATCGATGTTGAGAGGATCCTGTCCACCATTTTCAACATTCGGCGGAACAATTATGTTTAAATTAATGTTGGGCGATATTTCTTCTAAACGATTTAAAAATACATCTTCTTTAACGAACAATATCGTTTCTAATATAACCGTTACTTTCGAAAGCCATCTTTGAAAAGATATAAAACAATTCTACAAATTAAAATTCGCATGATGAAAAATTTCTTTTTTTTTTTTCTAGTGACGATCACTATGAATTTATATACTCACGTTATCGGAAGGCTCGACGAATAAAACTTTGAGAAAAGGATCGATAGGTCTTAGAACGTTTAAAGATAAAATACTCATGAGACCTATAAATGAACTTTGACCCTCGCAACTTTCTAATTTTAATCGATTCTGATTGGCTAGGGGAAGAACAACATCTACAACCTAACGTTTCCATTTATTTTTAATGAATAGTTTTTTTTTTTTTTTTTTTTTTTTAAATACATGGTTGAAATAATTGTCCTAACCTGTCTGGACCATCGCTTCCATCTTTCTCTTTCATCTTTTATTTTACTCTCTAGTAAAACTGATTTTATCAAATCCATAACGAGGGGAAATTCCACCAATTTTAACAATTTTGAAAACAGAACTTCTCGTTGCGTTTCCAAATCGCTATCCTCGGACAAATGTCTAATTAAAAAAACATCTTCCACGACAGGAATCAATGCCGGTAAACCTAAATTTAAAAAAATTAACGATAAGGTATTATAATTCGAAACAATTCCAATTGAAAACCTTAACAAATTTTAACTCACAGTGAGTTTGAACAGGTTGATCGCTAGCCATTAAATCGTCGCACAATTGCAAAATTTTTGGCATGCTGATTATGGGTTTTGAATGTTGTTTCGCATATGATAACAAAACCAAAAATTTAAATATTTGAGGTAAGAGAATTTCAATTCCTCTGAAATTAAATTATTATTTATGGACGCTATTAAACTTATAATTATTACATATTAATATTTTGTGAATAACGACAAAAACATACGGCATTTGTCCTCTTTCGATAAGTTCAAATTGTTTTAAAATAAAACTGACAAAATCCTGCTCTGGATCTAATATACAATAATTCAATCCCAATTGCATCAATTGATTTAATAAATTTAAAATGTGAGATTGTAGTTCAACATTTCCGGTTATCTTGTACATCTAAATAATACAAAAAATTTTAATTATTCGACTGAAATGCAAGTCAAAAAAATTTTTTTTCGAAAATTAAAATCACCTGAAAAGATGTTATGACCATGGGTTCGACAAGTTTTATGTATGTCGCCAAACATTTTTCATCCGGATTTTTTATTATACTTCTTCTCTCTGGTTTTCGGCGCCAGTGACTCAAATTTTCACATTCTAAAGAACTTTGATTTGCACGCCGTTGAATTTTTTCTACAATGGAAAAAAAAAAAAAAAAAAAAATTTTTTTTTCTCATACGTAAACTTAAAATTTGCGAGTTCAGTATACAACTCACCGGATAAAACTTTCGTTGGTATTTGATATAAGAAATCGAAAAAATTCGATCCTGAATAATTAAAAAATGGTATTTTTTTATCTTCCCAACACGAGGCCAGAGTTTTCCCGAAAAAGGATTTCAAAAGTTGACTGGAACAAATCAGAGTAGAATTTGGTTTTAACCAAATTACCAATTGAAGATATGATAATATTTCTTCGGCGCAACGTCCGGTTTCGCGAATGGTACTGACTTCTAATAAAATGGATAAAGTGTACAATGTGGATTCCAAAAGGTTTAAAAATTTATCACCGGCTGATTTTTCCAGTGATACCTGAAAACAAAAATAAAATATATTTTATACATTATATATAATTTTTCCGGTTTACTTTAATTTCTTACATACTTTAAAATTCGAGTATGCATTATTTAATAATTGTCCAAGTTTATAATATTGAGTTGCTTGTTTGACGACTTCGTTTGACATTTTATTCTTTTTTATTTCCGTTTTAACTGGTCCTTTCGGATCTACCTTTTTTACCGGTGATAACAAAGGCAAAAAAGAACTGTTGGTCGCGAAAGAATCAGAAACGTTACTCGAACGACCTTCTTCTATGATATGACCGTAGATATTTAAAACTTTAAGAACGTGAGTGAAAATCTCTTCGCTTAATCCGGACAACTACAAAAACAAACATTACATGGATTCAATTTACATTTTATTCCCATAATTTTATATTTATTATAAATACATGATTGAAAACTTGCCCTGTCCGATGTGAAAGCATTCCATAATTTTCCATCTTCTTTCGTTTCAAAATTAATTGATACGTGATAATTATTTTTTAAATTTGATACGCAGTGACCTAAAAAAAAAAATTTTTTTTTTAACGATACAAAAATAAAAGTATTCGTATCATTATTTAAAATAACAAACACACCAGCAAATAAATTGCCAATAAGAATCGTTGCATTGCTTAAAACCGTTAAATCTAAAAAATCTGGAGATAGAACAACTAATGAATGTACAAAAGCAACTAAATCGCTGGATAAATTATTATTATTTTCAATTGTATCCGTTGATGGTTTCGAACAATTCCAACCGTTGGGAAAACCAGTCGGTGGATATTTTTCCGAAAGGATTTTCAACGCTTCTATATATCCAGACTGTAAATAATTTGGTAATGTAAGAAGAAAAAAAAACTCATTTTCATTATAAATTATAAAAAAAAAATTTATATGTAAATACCGAACAATGTTTATTTTCGGAAATAATTAATAAATGACTTAATTTCGAGACAATGACAGATAGCGAATGTTCAATTTTACTATTAATATCAGATTTTTCACAATTCGTTGTCGCATAATATGAAAATGGTACAATCGAATTGTTTTTAAACATGTTTAAATTATTGATTGCCACAGTATCGAGATCGTTTGGAAAAGATTTCGCGTATTCCAATTCAAGAGATTTTCCCTCACACATCATGACCACAATTCTAAAAAAAAAAAAAAATGTCGAACAAAAGTAAATGAAAAAGGGTTTTAGTCGAGTTAAGGACAACTGAACCTTTAAAACCTACTCTGCCAAAGCTTCTGCGCTGGCATTTCTTACTCTAGCATCTTCATCACCCAAAAGAGTGATAACGGTATCAATCACATCCATTTGATAAGATTTACAATGTGTCAAATCAATAACTATACAATATGGAAGAACAGAAAATACTTCAACTAATTTAACCTGAAAATAAAAATTTAATTTATTGAAAGATGACAGGTAACAAAATCAATTTTTTTTTAAATTGAAAATTTTCGAATCTCACCTTAACTAACCAATAAGAATTATTTATTATTTGAGGTAAATACTGCAAAATGGGTAAAAAAACATAATTATAAGGCGAATGTAATATTGTTAATATGGAAATTTTAACACCGGCGAGTGCTTGTCGAACTCCGATTGAAGAATCATCTTTTAAACCCTGTTAAAAATACCAGAATGATAATAAATAAATAATTTACGAATTTTTTATTTTTATTAAATGATACCTTTAAAATAATGTTAGTCAAAAATTCGAGACTAAATTTTGAATCTTGTTCGTTGAATAAATTTGAATGTTCCATGGACTCTAAAAGAGCCGAATTTATAAGCGAACCTATTAATAGGTACACGCAGCCTCTGATATGAGGATCGCAATGATTATGATATTGTATAATATCAATTAAATATTTATCGGGATCTGAAATAATGATTAAAATTTTTTTTTTTTTTTCATCGTTGTTGTTCGTCGCAAATGGCAAAATTTTTCATTTTTTTTGTTTAGTTAACTTACATGCACTTGAAGTTTTAGACAATTTCATTTTCAATACAACCGGATATATTTTAAGAATGGAAGAAATGCAAGTTAAAGCTAATGATTTTATCGAAACTCGAATCGTTTTATCACTTTTCATTGTGCTATCCGGACCTGAATCCAGAAGAAAAGAAGCAGCTAAGTGTCTTGTGCAATAAATCAAAGGTACTGCAGCATCTGTAAAATTCCCGACGTCAATATTCTACAAAAAATATATCAAATAATTTTAAATAAAAAAAGTGTATTATTTAAAATTTTTATTTATTGAATTTCATTCGGTGTAAGTCACGTGATTCAGGAATATACATAAATTTTATAAAAACTTCAACCTCTTTTTTATATGTTGATACAAATATATAAATTTGAAATATTGCATTAACATTACCGATAAATTATTCTTATAATTTTCACTATCATCAGGTGTGTACAGGTTTTCTCGACTGTTATTTTTAGAGTACTGTACGAATTCATCTTCAACTTCTTCATCCACCACGTCTTCAACTTCTGCTTCGTTATCAAATAATAGAAGCGGTGGAGTATTTAATTCCGACATTATAGAACTTTCGTTATCCGAATCGTTGTCCAAAGTTGATTGACTTCCAAATAATTTGCCTGAATAACACAAAAGTAATTTTTTTATAGAAATTACCAAAAGTACAAAATGTAAATACTTTAATTTATTTTTTAATAAACGTGCCAATAAATTTTTCTTTAAATGGATTTTCGACAATTTTTGCATCATCATCTTGCTGCAGAGATTTTTCTTTTGATTTTAAAGTAGATTGTTTCAACCCATATGAATTTTTAGTAGAAATATTAAAAAACTGAGAAGACAATTCTACATCATCGAGAAGAAAGTCATCGGAGGGTGGCAATGAACAAGTAACACTCATTTCACCTAAAACAAATATTTAATAAAAAAAAATTTTGTTAACCTCCTGCAATTTTATAATAAAATTAATAAAAAAAAAAATAAATTACTTCCTGCTCTGCTTAAATTTTTTTTTTCTTTCATCGAATAAATATAACTTCTTGAAATTCCAGATGAAGATAATAAAATTTCTTTAAAATTTGAATCTGCATTTTGTAAAATTTGATTTAATGTTTCTAAAGAAGCTGCAACTACATTGTGATCACTATTTTTCGTGTAATGCAAGCATAATTCATATAACTAAAAAAGAATATTATCACGTTTAAGAAAAAACTTATTTTCTTACATTCACTTTCCTTTTTTCTTATTTAATAAAGTTTTACTTGAATAAGCCTATCAGTAGAAACAATAGATTCTTCTAATTTTCTTTTAAGACCAAAACTTCCGCTTATTCTTTCATTATCTTTAACTAAATTTAAAATCGGTAACAGCAACCTGATACATCCCAATACTCCGAGAACCAAATTTGATGAATTTGTTTCCGATACTGGAATAAGACTATCTATGGAAAAATTTTAAAAAAATATGAGGGTAAATAATTGCTTATGTGAAAATTTCAATTTAAAAAATTGTAAAAGTTTATTTAAAATAAAATTTACCTAATAATGAATTCAAAACATATGTGTTAAAAACTTGAGGCTTCCGACAATACTGAACTAATTTTACAATACACGTTGCTGAACATCTGCGAATGACTTGATTGTCTGATGACAAATTGTTAAGAAAAGCCTTTATAAGACCCTAAAATTAAATAAATGACATTTTAAAAACATGGCTTATAGTTTTATTTATAGAAAATTTTTACCTTTAAATTATTATCCTGAACGAAAACACCCAATACTTTAAATATTTGTTCAAATGAAGAGGCTAACGTTTCGTGAATGCTTTCTTCTTCTCTTTTGCTTATTTCTATGAGACATGGAATTAATTTTTGAGCATGAATATTTCCCTTAAAAGGTCTAATATATTGGCTTAACTGACCGAACCTGTAAATTGCTGCTCTTAAACATCTGGGCGAACCATTTTTTCTAATAATGTCATGGAGTTCAACTTGAATTTTGAGCATGTGAAATTCTGATAAGGACTAAAATTTTAAAAATGATATGATTTTAATATTCTAAATATTTTTAGATTTGTGAACTTTTTAAAAAATTTACACAACAATCTATAGAAATTGTACTAAAAATAATTTTTACCAAAATAATTCTGTTCAAACTTTCATCTGCAATCATTCGAACATCAGAATCTTTATCATCACATAGATTAATTATATTTTCTATAACAATTGGTAAATTTTGTAAATTTCTAGACTTAGGAGAAGCCATGAGATCGGCAGCAAGAACGCAAAAAAACATTTTTTTTCTTTTACTAAAATAAAATCCAAAATTTTTAATCATTAATCGGTGTTTTTAGTCATTCAAGTGTCATAACGATTCGATCGTCAAAAACCAAAAAAAAAAAAAAATAATAAATTTTTAATTCTTCTTTATTATTATTTAAGCCGATCGCTATAATTTATTAATAAAAATTAATAAAATAAAATTTATTCTCTCATAAATAATTAATTTCGTACCCGATATTTTGGTCATCAATTGAACTACTCGAAAATTGAATATTTTTAAGCCCTTCAATTGCTTTTGCCAATTTATCTGCCATGATAGATAGTAATTTTTAAATAAATAACTTATTAATTTTTTACATTTTTAACAAAATAAAAAAATAAATAAAAGAGCAATAAAATATTGTAATAATAATACTACTACTACTACTATAATTGCATATTTTTTTCAAATAAGGTTTTTACGTGTATTCAAAAACCGAAAACTGAACGTACTTTTCAATTCTCGTGTTTGTAAACATTGCAAATTGCAATTTGCAATGGGAAAAAATTCAAAAATATTTTCTAAGCTGAAAAAAAAAGGAAACTTTGTTATTATTTCAAATTTTAAAATTTGATAAAGTTATTGTTTTAATATGTCAGTAATTGTTTTCAACAACCTCCCCCACAAAAATAACATTACATGCGGAAATGCTTGGAAAAACAAAAAAAAAAAAAAAAAAAAGTAGGTAGATAAATAATTTATTACTTGTTTTGTAATAATAACGTTAAGATTAAATAACAAACGGAAATTTTTTTTTTTTTTTTTTTGTAGACTGATAAATTTTTATAATACTTTTATGATTTAGATTAGAATTTGATAAATTAACACACATCTTAGACAATAAGTCTTTCTTTTGATTTACAAATCGGTATCAACAATCGGTAACAACAATTTTGTGCCGTTTTTTTTTTTTTTTTTTTTTTTTATATTTGAAAATGTGGAAAAATCGAAAATCAAGCGATTATTTTACAAACGAAATGATCGAGGTAATTAAATTAAAAAATTTAAATAAAAAAAAATTTGGGTATGTTTTAATAATGAATTTAAATTTATTATTATTATTATTAGGGACAAATGAGAGATTGTATATCGGATAGAACGGTTAAAGAACTTTTAGAAAGGCTTTGCTTAGCCGAAGGATGGCTTTTGAAATATTTATTAGGTGACGGTTTCGTCGTGAGAGCAGCTGCGGCAAACGTCAAAGTATTTGCTAAAAAAAATTCGTTACAACCCGAAAAATATTTCGGTGATTTATATTTGATACAAAATATAAATAACGGACATGTTTCATTTAAATTATATTGTCCGAAAACAAATCAATTTGTTTGGTCTTTGGATAGAGTGTACGATTGGAACGGTTACGTTGATTTAAAATGCAACACTCATATATTTCACATAGGTAATTCCATGTACACGTTTAAATTTCCTGATAAAAGAGAAAGAACGGTTTTTAAAGATAATTTAAATAAATTTATGTTTTTACAAAGTTCAAAAATCAAATCATAACCTTTTTTTTATTATTTTCACTCCTCCAAAACGCATTTGTAAAAAATTTCACATAAAACTTATGCTTTTGTAAAGTCTAACACTTGGACGCCATGTTTGTTTTTATTGGTTTCTTTGTGGTAAATTTATTTCTCTTTAAAAAAAAATAAAATTCAATCCTTTATTTATTACTTATTAAATACTAAAGTTTGTTGGTTTAATGTTTTGGTTTTTAATTATATATTTAAATTAAATTTAAATAAAATAATTAAAAAATTATAAAATTATAATTTCCTCATGTGTGTATATTACAAACTTGAATTATTTTTAAAAAATTGTTGTATTTTTTTTTTTTTTTTTTTAATGAAACTATTTTAATTCATAATAAATAATGTTTTTAAATTTTTTTAAAAAAATATATAAACCGTGACTTTTTTATAACACACATATATATATATTTTTTTTTTTTTTGGATTTAATACAAATTTTGTCTTTTGTAAAAAAAAAAAAAAATGACTTTCTCACATTTAATTGAAATTGTTCCAATTGAAAATATTTAAAGAGCCAACACATAATAAAATAAATAAAAAATTATGTATTAAATTTTATTATTATTATTATTAAATTATGTTTTATGACAGTGAGTTAAAAAAAAAAAAAAAAGATTTTTGTGATATTTGTGGTTATAAAAATTCCCATCTCATGGTTAAAATAAATAACATTAATAAATAAATAATTAAAATTCATCAAAGTTATTATAAAAAAAAAAAAAAAAAAGAAACTTGAGTAAATAATATTTGTAAAATGGTTGACATTACTTCCAGAAAAAATAATAATTATTTATTTCATAAAAATCATTTTTAAATTTTCATGAAGACAGTAAAAAAATTGATTGTTTAAATTTAATATCATTTCTCTTTATATTTTATAAAATACATTTTTTTTTTTAAAAAAGATTAAATAATAATAAAATAATTATTTCTTAAAGGCAAAGTTATCATTTTAAAAAGTAAACATTATAAAAAAAAAAAAAGGATAAATTTTTAAATTTCATTGAAGAATAAAATATTTTTATTATAAATTGTTTGTTTTTATTTAATCTTTTATTATTATCCTCAAGTTTACAGCTTTGATATGAAAGTTATAAAAAAAAGAATTGTAAAAGAATTAATGAAATAAAAATAATAAATTTAGTGAGCAATATTAAAACTTGTTTAAATAAAATAATTGTCTTTGTAAAATTTCTAAAAAGTAAAAACTAAGCAATAATCAAGCCAATTTTTCTTTTTTTTATAAAAATGAACGTTTCACTACTACTACTTGAATACAAAAATTATAATAAAATAATTGTATAATTTTGAATAATTTACAATGAGAAATTATTATATACATTTCACTAAGTAAAATTCCGATTTGTTTATGAGAAAATAAAAGAAAAAATTATTCAGAATAATAAAATATAATTATGAATTTAAGTTTATAAGGAACGTGCATAAAAAGTCTCACACGCAAGAGAAAGTTTACTTTATAATTATTTAAACTTACAAAAACTTCATTAATAAATTATTCGGATTCCGTGAATATTTCTCAAAAAATAGAATATAAAAGTTAAATTTTAAAAATCATTTACATAATTTGTTAATTAAAATTAATATAATGTAAAATAAAAAAAACAAAAATATATACAATATGAGTTTTAATATTGAAAAAAAAAACCCCGCTTCGAATAGCAGAAGGTAATAAAAATCGTCTTGTTGCACGATTTGCTGCTCCCTCTTCCCTCCCACGAATAAACTAATTTTACAATGGCGGATTACAACGTTAAGTGCGTCCTGTGTCATTAGAATAAAGTGACAAGTTATTCTGCCACTCCTTCCCACGGTCTGATTATCATATTCCGCTCTCAAATACCAATGTGATTAGTGATTTAGGCACGGTGGTCAGTTCGGGTCTTTTTAAATACTTTTTTAATATGGTGTTACTTATTTGATTTTGCTATTTATGAATCATTATTTGTTGTGTTCTTCGTTAAAAGATATGGCAGTAATAATTTGCAATGATAAAATCAGTTTTCGAACTGAGTATATTTAAATAATTATTTTTACGCGTATTTTGCGGCAAACGGCTTTTTATTTTTTTATTAAGCAGATGTTTTATTTTAATTTTTTTTTTTTAAATAAAAATGATGCCTGGCCGACCGTCAAACGAAAGTAGACTTTTACTAAAGGAAGAAAATATTTTATTATTTTCATTACTGGGAGTTAAATGTCAATCATTGGCAAGTTCTGTTGTTCAACTTTTTCTTACGGAATCTCCTAATCACAGTCAATGGAAAAGAAAAGATGCGGGTATAATGTGTTTAGTAAAGGATCACACCAAACGTTCTTACTTCTTTAGGTAATGGGTTGTTTACTTTAACATTCTTTAATGGTCTTTATATGGTTTCAAATAAGTGGAATTTATTTAATTTGGAACTAAAATGATATGTTGCCAATATTTTTTTTTTTGATAAATTTTTAATTTCAAATTTCAGATTGTATTGCCTTTCAAGAAAAGCTTTAGTGTGGGAGAATGAGTTATACAACAGTTTAGAATATACAGCGCCTAGGGCTTGGCTCCATACTTTTGAAGCTGAGTCATGTATGGCTGCATTTAATTTTGCTGATGAAGAAGAAGCTAATCATTTTCAAAATGAAGTCTTGAGAACCCTGGCTAGTAAAAACCAAAAGCAAATAGGTAAAAAATTTTTTTTTTTTTACTCCACTCGTAAATCAAAAAATTTAATCACTAAATAACACATATAAGTGTAGTTTGTATGTATTGTCATGCACATAATTTAATTTCCAAATGACTGATTGCCACAATTTTATTAAAATCTTTAATGTAATTTCTCTTAACTTGTAACATTAACAAATCACACCTTACAAACCTATTTGTAGAAAGGAGAGCTAGAAATTCTCGTCAAATGGATGGTTACCAAGGACCTATAACTAATGTGCAACATACTTCATATGTTCACAATGGACCTGACATTATGCAACACAAAAAAAAGATTGCAGGTGAGACCTCACTTTAAAATATTATTTTTTAAAATTTACATCGAGTAGTATTTTTTATTGCCATAATTTATAATTTACATCTCAAATTTGTATTCTTATTTCAAAAAAAAAAAAATGCACAAACTATAACATAGGTAATGGAACAAAAGGAAGAGATAGAAGACGAAGATTAAGAAAAGAAGACATTGGACAGCCGCAAGACTTCAGACATGTTTCACATGTCGGTTGGGATGCTAATAGAGGATTTGAAGGTCATGGTGAAGCTTTAGAAAATCCTCAATTAAAGGAAATCCTCTGTAAGGTATGACTAAGCTTAAAGTTAATTTTTAATATTAAATTAAATAATGTATACTTATTCGAAAAATAAATCTTTTGATTTAATTAAGTAAAAAAAAAAAAATTTCAATAGAAAATCTTATTTTTAATTTTTTTTTTTTTAATTATCAGTTAGTAGTAATAATGCATAATTTTAATTTATTAATTAGTCAGGGCCCCAGGTTCGTTTAATTTTTTATAAAATTTGAGGATTTAAATTAAAATTACAAAACAAAAATGCTGACCCATATTTAAATGATAAAAGTTTGGGAAAATTATTGAGATTGGAAATAAACTCTAGGGAAGATAATTATAATTTTTCATTAGAATTTAAACAGGAAGTGAAACAATGTCGTCGTAATTAATGTTATCTAATTGTCTTATTGTTAATTTGTATCAAATTCATAACTTTAGATATTTATCTCATCCAACTTGCTAACTAGGATAGGAAAATGAGGACATGCATTCCAACCATTTTGATTTTGATTTTGATTTTTTTTTTTTTTTTTGTTAAAGTTATTTGAATAAAAAGTATGTGTGAATTTAGAATAACGGATTAATTTTTACAAAAAAAAAAAAAATGTTATTTTAAATAATTTTTTTTTTTAACTTTTTCGAATTGGAAAAAGAAAAAAAAAAAAAATTCGAACCAATGAATTTTAAAATAATTAACATTTGTATTATTCTAGAACAAGTGCACGCGATTTATCTCTGATAAAAATTAAATATATATTTATATCTATGTCAAAATGGCTACGTAAATTTCAAAACAAAACAAATTAATTAATTAAAAAAAAAAAAAAAAAATTTCAAAAAAAATAGTAAAATTTATTTAAAAAATCCCCAAAAAAAAAAAAATTAAACTTTCTTTATTATTTTTTTGTAAAAAGCTTTAAATGATAATTTGTTAATTTTATGTAATATTCGTTATTAATAATATTGGTATTTACATTTTGATTTTTTTTTTTTTTTTTGATGATGAATTTTTAAAATTAAGATTTTATTACTTGTGTGTCGTTTTTGTTTTTCATTTAAAGTTTTTTTTTTTCCCCTGTAGGCTGGAGTGTCTGAGAATCAATTGCGTGATCGGTCGACAAGAGAATTTATTTACGGATTTTTAGAACGCGTCGGTGGACTTCCTCCTGTAAAAAATGAAAGCACGAAACTTGCAAAGGCACCCCCGGTACCGTCGAGGGCTCCGCCTCCAGCATATCCACTGTCAAAGCCTTTACCATCACCTCCTACCAATAATATAAATACTAGGAGGCAAATCCCTCCACCAGGTTGGTTTATTTAAATGAAAATAATTATATTTGGATTTTAATGCGGTACCTGGAAAATGATGAGCAAATTTTTTATTTTACAGTTAACAATCAAAGAGTAGCCCCTCCTCCTCCTCCACCCCCTCCCATGTCTTCCTTACCAAAGTTACCAGAAAATGATAAGTCAAGAAATACTGTTGCACCTCCTCCTCCTCCTCCCCCGCCCCCGCCTCCTTTAATCACATCGGAACCTGCTACGCCGCCGCCTGTTCCACGTCCTTCGAACTCATCGACCGATGCCAGAGCTGCGCTCATGGACGCCATCAAAAGTGGAGCCACGTTAAAACACGTCGATGTTGAGAAAAAGTCTGTTAATCATATGGATTCGCGGGGAGAACTTTTAGATCAAATTCGTCAAGGTGTCGAATTGAAAAGCGTACGTATTGAAATATGGCGTATTAATTCTCGACGGAATCGTTTTACTCATCACTTCATTCGATTTGAAAAAAAATGCAGGTCCAACACGTCGAAAAGCCGAACGGACCTTCTGCTCCTCTCGATGGCATAGCGGGTGCCTTGGCAAGAGCCTTAGCTGAAAGAAGCAAAGCATTTCACCATGACAGCGATAGTGATTCCGACAGCGAAGGAGACGGTGACAGCGATAGCGAATGGGACGAATGACATTTGTTTTTTATTGTTATTACATTCAGTTGCTACTAATCAAAGGTAGGGGTATTATAAAGAAATTTATTAAATTGTTTTTTTTTTTTTTAAAATTGAACTTGTTTAATTTTTTTTTCTTTCGAAAGATTGATAGATACCTAACCCCCCCCCCCAACTCATTGACTCACTTCCTTTCCATTCGATTAATCATTGAAAAAAAATTTTATTATTTATTTGCTCACTCAATAATAATTCATTGATAAAAAAATCAAAATGGAGTCCTTTAGTTTCAGATTTGAAAAACCGGAAAAAATTACAAATTAATTTTTTCATTAATGTCGGATTTTAATAATTTGTTTCAGTTTTTAAAAAAACTAGCGGATATCATAACATTTATAATTTTAAACGTCGGGTAATAATAAAATGATGATGATGATGATAAAAATCGTTATGACCTTTTGAATTTGTTTTTTTGACATCATGCGTAATCAATTAAATTTATCTAAAGGCTAATTTTGTAAAAAAAAAAAAAAAAAAAAATGTCACTTAACGGAAATTTATTAGTTTTTGTGTTTGTGCGCGTTCGGTATTTGCAAAATTATTAAATATCTCTAATCGTTTGTCGAGTTATGGATAGTAAAAACGGTTAAAACGTAAAAATTTTATGTAAAATTCAAAGAGTATAAATAATTTGATGAGGGGAACCATATTGGAATAGTTGTTCATCTTAAATCAATTTGTAAATTTTTAATTAGGCATTTACAAACACACGAACTCTTCTGATAAAATTAATTATTTATCATTCATTTAAAATTATATTTATTAATTAAATAATTTGTCTTTAATTTTAGTCTGAGAATCAAAAGGGAAAAATTCATTCATCGCGTGCAAAAATTCAACATTTGGTCATTCCTGTGGTTTTTTAATTCTCCCCCCCCTCCCGCTTCGCCCCCCCCAATCCCTAAAATAAAAATAAAACCGTTATAACGAATTGAAATGAATTTATAATTTGAAATTGTTCAGATGACAAAATTTAAATTTTTTTTGTTTAAATCTTTTTTGTTTAAATCTTTTTTTTTATAAATATTTATAAGATTCGATATTAATTCAATTGTATTATTAATTTTTTTCCCCTTTTTTCAGACATTTTTTTCTCTTTTATTATCATTATTATTTTGTATG